CCAGCGCTAACCATTTTGTGTCTTACTTTTTCATAACCCTTTTTGTTCTCAATTGCTTTTGTTTTACACAGAAATACACACAGCATTGGGAGATTTCTTAGCTCCACCATCAACATGGACCGATAATCTTCTCCATAGTTTTGTAATGCCTTTTCTTTGAATCGAGCCTTCAGTGGCTTCTCATTCGAACCGATTGTAATTTCACTTTTACGTCATTGCGTCTCTGCATTTCCGCCTCCAGCCTCTGTTCAAACACAAGCGTCCTGAAAGGTCATAAATTCCCTGGTTTAACGGCGGAGCTAAAAAACACGACGTGACGACACCGGCCCAGATCCACAGGTAAAGTCCGGTTTACAGCCTTCGCTTCCCGTCATAACAATCGGGAGAGTTTCCGACCGGAGTCTACCATCTACAACAGCCATTCCCAAACTCAGTAACACCGAGGCCCCCTTAAAAATCTGACGGGTCTGCGTGGCCCCCCAAAATAATAACCAAGAAGACAACATTAAGAATAGGCTCTTCTGGTTATTTTATTTTGGGGAAATAGCCTCTGCTACAAACATTGTAATACAAAAATGATTACAGTGGATTATTCAAGTCAAATAATGAACACAAATATTTTAATATTACAAACAAAACATTATAAATTTAACATTAAATAATTATATTATTATTTTTTTTTTTTTATGACCTCCCGCGGCCCCCCTGCAGTACCCTCGCGGCCCACCAGGGGGCCGCGGACCCCACTTTGGGAGACACTGATCTACAACATCTATTTGTGAATAGTAGATTGAAGTATTGTAGAAACATGGACTGGGAATGGTCTTTCTTGAGGTCAGCATGGTCCGACTGTCACTTGACTTGCTTTAGTAAAACTTGTGTGTGTTCTTACCATTGTTTGGCTGGAAATCTGGAACAAACTGCTCGTCGTCCGGAGACTGGGCTGCAGAGAACAAAAAAATCTAAATTAAAATACAGTCTATTTACAGACAATCTATAAATAGTGATTTTCTGTAATTTCAAACGTCACCTTCAGCGATCCAGATCTCCTGCAGCTGGAAAAGATCTTGGAACAGGTCTGAGAAGTGGGATGTAGAAAGTTAGAGTGTGTATTTCAACTTATTACGTGACATGACTGATTATAAAGTCATCCTTACCCTCGGTGTCTTGGGCCAGTTCTGTGTCCATGTATTTCCTTTTCCGGCTGTTTAAACGCGCGTCTTCTTCAGTGGCACATCTCTGCAACAACCGTTTGTTATTTTGGATTAATGCTCAATATAAAAATACTTAAACTGGTTCCAGAAAGGCCCGGTGTGGCTGCAGGTCTTCATTTTTACCCAGCAGGACACTTTGGTACTCACTCCATTTGTCGAATGGTTCTCAATCAAGATATTACACTTCTCTTCTAAACTTGACAAAAAAGTCATAGTGACTTACAGGGCTCCTTCTTAAAAAGGTATATTGAATGATGTTCTACTCCTGAGTGGATCATCTCAACAATTGGTCCTCCTTATCTCCTCTAGAAAAAAAACCCCCACTGTTCTCAACATTGGACTTTTGGTCAAAACCATCATGTATAATTATTGCAATGCAGAATGTAGGTATCCCAGCTTTAATTTAGCGAGTTTTAGTTGACCTTGGGGAGGAGACATGCGTCGTTGTCAGAGCAGTTCACAGGCATCATTACAAAGCAACCGCAACAGCCCCACAGTCACGCGCCTCCCCTGGCATTGCACCACACACCATTTTGAGAACTGGTCTGTGTGAAGTACGCAAAGGCACTTACGAACTCAAGTGATAATAGTTTTTCTGATTTTTGTCACGCATGCTTTCTGCACTTTGTATGCCTCCCTGGTTATAACCATAATTTTCCAAAGATATTTCTGCCTCTGTTACAACAGAATTATAGTTGGTTTATTGGCATGTATGGTGTTGTAGCTAGTTTAGGAAGAATGAGACAAAATTGATAAATACAAAGAAATCTTTTTCTCACCCTCTCAGGGGCCACAAAGGGCACCTGCTGGTCATAGAAGCCATCCATCGCAAGACCCAAGTCTTCACTCTGAAACACAATAGTAATATCTTTCATTATTTCAATGCTATAAATGGGGGGTAAACATATGTGCATTTCTTTTCAAAGTAGGTGTTTCTCCTGTGGTGTTTATTTTCCAAATGGCTTCTGTTTTAAGAGCTTTCCAACTGCTTTCTAAATTTCCCGTACTTGTAAAAAGCCCCAGATGACAGTAGCTCCATGTTTGGTCAAGACAAGTTTAAGACAAGGTTGAAAAGACGTTTTAATGTAGACTAGGGAAAACAGAAAAGCATATTTTCCAGCGCTAGAATCTTCCAACTTGCACCAGTGGTAAGTTTAAACATAACACTTCACATTGACAGAAATCAAACAACAATCATCATTATTGCCAGTTTAGCATTGAAGAAATGCATTCACTTTCTCACATTTTGGTAACATTTGTTCCAGTACTTTGCTGGTGCAAAAATAGAAATAAATGAACAAAATAATTTAAATGCGTTTTTCTTACTCTAGTTTCACAAACAAACGACAAGATTCTAAAATATGGGGATTTTATTTTGTCTTTCCTAAATTATGTTGTTTGTCCCAACATGTCTTTGAAATATTAGAAAACGACTTGTGAGTTACTATTTGACGCGTTAGGCTGAGAGCTAAATGATTATTTTTATTTGGATCAGCCACAGAACAAAACTGACATGCATGTGAAGACGAGTGATAGAACCAAACTGTTTAGAGAGCTAGGAACAAGGGAAATTGATTCTTAGTTCAATCTTTTATGTTGTTTTAAGTTATGTACCCGAGCTGTAAAAAGCTTTGAATTTGGCTCTGTCAAATGTAATACTTTAATGTTTCAAAGTCTTTGTGGCTGCTCTATTTAAACCCCTGGCTTTATAACCCGTAGTGACGTCCCTGCGTGCCTCTCTCTTGGCAGTTTTTTGTGAATGGAGCTGATGGTGACGCACGGACCTTGTTTTTCTCAATGGGCTGAAACCCGATCCTCTCCCAAAAGGGGTTAATAAATCGCAGGGAGGAGGAGGAGGAGGAACAGCGCCATGCCACGGCTCAGAACATGCACTGTTAATAATTCAGCTTTTACAAATCACAACCAAGGCGCGATGCAGCGTCAGAACAATGCTGACAGACGCGGAAAAATACAGTCACCACCCAAGATACACGCAGAAAATGGCGAGTGTGCAGTGGTTGTGGCTCTGGCTGCATGTCTCCCCTCCACCACCGTCAACGCGGGCAATACCTGAAGCAAATCAAGCACGCAAGACCATCCATACCGTGCATATTTCTGGCTATTTACACGCAAAACCCACGCTATTTACCTCTTGTGACGTTCGTAATCCTCAATCGTGCTGATCCAAGCATGTATCTCGCAGCTACATCGCCCGCACGGCCGCGTACAAAACTCTACTCTGTTTTTCTCAATGAAGCTTCTCCCTGGGTCCCGATTCCAAACCGACCTCTGTTCTGGCCGCTGATTGGCCGCGCGAGACGTCGTTTGCAGCCTGAACCAATCGTGTGACAGCTCCCAGAAACGCCCCTCCTCCGTGTTCTTTATGAATGGCTGCGTTTCATTCATGAATTCGCAGCTCTTTTAAAGCGACAAACCCCTTTTTTAAAATCTGTGTGTGTTTGTTCAAGGCCAACAATGAGATCCACACGCAAATATAGCGGTTATGTGTTTATAGGTGCATTTACTAAATACATGCGATACATGCAAGTAAATCCTGTACAATTATCATAAACACAGGTATATGCCAAGTTTTCATGTCTTCAAAACGACACGTACCCAAAGGCACACACACACACACAGGCAAAGACAGACACACACACACACACACACATACACACACGTAAATTGTTCCAAAGAGTAACAAATGTAAAGTAGTCAAAAAACGTTCAGTGTGTAAATGACAAAAACCACTATTATTTGAACCACTGCACTTGTGCTCAAGGACATCATGTACTGACTGAGATTAGTTCCGCTCCATACTTGCCATAAATCCTTTAAACAAATTATAAACACCCTACGCTGCCAGTTATTTCAGTTAGATCACTGCGCAATCGTCTTCAGTGGAACCAAAGCAGTCATAAAGATGATTTAATATCTAATTATTGCCATTTTTACCAAGTGTATCTGTCTGCGGCCTGCAGTAAGGAGGCGTGTCGGGTAGTAGGCGTGTCGGGTAGTGACGTCACTACCCGACACGCCTACTCCACGTTCTACCCGACACGCCCACTCCACGTTTCTTAAAGGGGTATGAGCACGGATCTATTATAATACGGGTAGAGTACTATTTATGCCCAATAATGAGTTTATGCGCCACAATTAATGTTATGGTGCATGTCATTGTCATCATTATTTATTGGGGGAAAATGGACGAATTTTGTAAATATCAAAGTAGTACTTCAGACTACTTCAGACAATCAATAGGGATTTGAAGCGGCTCAGGACAAAAGTTAATGAGTCAAATAATGCCAGTGCTTATGTCTAATGTGTAGATTCATTTATAAAAGGGGCCTATGGTTGGTGGCTCAAATCCTGGCTGCCCCAAGTGCAGTCTGGTATGTTCTTGAGCAATGCACTTCACCCACATGTGTGGACATAGTGAGAGACTGCTTGCACAGATTAGCTGCCTGGCATCCATTACTGCAACCCAGCTGTGGCACACTGTGTGGACTAAATGAATAAAGACCACAGTGTGGCGTTTTGAGAAACTTGTCAACACAGGATTGAAAAGCACATTAAGCAGACATTCATTATTATTGTGTTTCGTCAAATATGTATGTGGGAGAGGGAGATTAAACAAAAAGAACAAATTGTTATCTGGCATTTTATATACATGCTTTTTCATGAATTTGTGTTCTGTGAATGGCTCTGAAATGTAGAAACTGAAAAAGTTCAACACAAAACAAATATTGCAACACATTCTTTTATTAAAACTGTGAGAGAAAGGCTTCAGAGGAGGCATTCGTGATTCTATAACATCATCAATAACATTAAAATCATTACATGTGCACTTTATGTAATGTCTTATAATGGTAGTCACTTACCAACTGCGTTAGCTGGACAATTTCAGTTGTTTTTGCCTGGTTAGTCATTGTCCAAGGGCGCTGCTGAAAAAGGATGCAAGTTGCTAATGTGTTAGTTCAAGGCCACTATGAATATCACTCAGTAATGATTGTGATGTCACATTTTTTTTACATTTGTCACTTCAGTACACGGTCTCTTCCTCTTCAGTCTGAAGATGGGTGAAAGGCACCCATTGACCATTTGCTTGCCCTCTTTAGTGAAATGAGCAAATCGTCTTCCATGCCTGAAGAAACAAATTATATACTCCAGAAAAGCTGTAAAACTGAAACAACTATATTTTGTCAAACTATTTCACAGGCTTTGGAATAAGCAACAAAAACCATGTAATTGTCTGGTAGCAGTGTTGTTGAAGATATATTTCCACAATAAATCAAATCAACAAACCAAACAAAGGGTAAATCAATCATACCCTTCCAGGTGTAGGTTTTCCACTAGCACTACACACCACCATCTTCGCAGTACTGGCATATCGTCCTTAAAAATGAAGAGCACATCCACACAACCCACAATGATTAACTTGACATAATTTTTTTTTCAATGTTGCAACATGCCCTTCTCAATCCAAAATGAATGTTAAACAGGAATTAAATGGCCCTAAATGGAAAATGGTCACATTTACATAGTGCCTTTCTACCTGCTTTAGGCACTCAAAGCGCTTTACATCAAGGAACCACTCACCCATTTACACTCTTATTTATACAGTTTATGCAGACACAGGAATTGACCATTTTACATATGTATTTGTAATTCAATGAAGAAATTATTTGATGAACTTACGACAGTGAAGTCAAATGGTGCACCAAGGATTAGGTACCAAGTATACTGAAACAAAAAACATTACTGTGCCGATAATATGTTCAACCAATTGTAAGCGTATGTAATTCTAATCTTACCATTATCATAAAAATGCCACAGTCATTGGCATGTGTCTGTTGGGGAAGTCCCTAAACATGAGTAACACAAATGTTAAATTATATAAAATACAATGTATTATTGAAACAGATTCTAATGCTTTGAACAGATTGTGTGTACTAATAAAAAACAAGTTTGTTACTGTAGTAGCAAAAATCTTCTGCATTGAAGCACATCATAATCACCCAGCAAGTACATTTACTGTAGCCATGCAGGCAACCTGCTTACTGGTGCCACATAAATACAGTGACCCCAGTGGACTGCCTTGAAAGCAGTAATTTGTCCATATTGCAATCTTAGATCCAGTTACCTCTATGTCTTTCCCTGTTTTTTCAATCCAGGGACCTGGAGCCAGTTTCTGCGCAAGAGCACTGTTGAAAAAAAATAACAGTAAGACACTGATAGTGTGTATTCAGTCAAAACACAGACAAAAACGAGCTGAGTCTCAAATTTGAAGCTAATTTCACTTTTATTACTCTATACTTTTATTCTAATGCTAATTGTTTACACTATCACTTATTTCACTGTATTATTTTCACTTTTCAATCTTAGACTGTGTACTTTACTTTCACTATTCACTATAGTTTAAAACTATTCTAATCTATTCACAAATATGTTTGCATATTTGCTTCTATTGAGCCATATTCTTAAACTAATAAATCTCTCTGTTCTGTGGTTTACACTCTAATTATCAGTGGCATATTATTAGTGGGATTTTGCTCCATGTCTATTCTCATTCTCAGGAATAAAACTGTGAACACAGTAAGACAAATGGTTAATATGAACATTATTATGGCTGTCAGTTTTCCAATACATTTGTTGAACCAGGAAGTGCTGTCACTTCCTCCTCTTAAGCAGTTTGGTCATATAATCAAATTAGTATTATCCTTACAAGTGCTAATCTATTTTAGCAGGTTTGGGGTTGGGGTCAGTTATTCCACAATGGTGTTTGTGCTGGAAACTTCTCAATATCTAAATATCTACTATTTTGTTTTTGGGCTACACCCAAATGCATCAAAATGCTTTTAAATGCTTTTGAATCTCTGTTGGTTCTAATCTATCTCATTGATCTAGGCATTAATCTAGGCTACACTCATATTTTTTGACTCCAAAGCATCGGTTGCAGCTTGAGTCAAGGCATATTTCTAACTTTGTGACTTCTGTCACTTTTTAATGGCTGTTAACAAAACTCTGATTCTAATATTATAGCAGATCTATCAAAAGGATAACATTGTAGGGTACTATTTTAACTCTTATGTGGAAATGTGTTTATGAAAAACAAAGGAAGTCAAATTCTACTTTTTTACTACTATTATAACATCTACTAAAACGCTACAATAATCATACTTTATCATTTTCAAAGTTTTTGTCTGTACCAGACAGATTTTTTGTCGGTAGATGTCTGCCCAATACTTAACATGTATATTGCATTTGTCACAGTTTCTGGTTGTAGCAATAGCATCGGCAATAGACGTTTTCATTGGCTGGTTCTTGTTCTGCAAATGGCTGTGTCCAATAGATCATCAGATGTCCAGAAGCTAGGGACAAACAAAAACAAAAGAAAGAATCATGAGTATCTCTCTCATTTAGCACTCATCAATGTATGATTTCAAAAATATAAACATCACTCCCCAGTTTTCTCTCTCAGGTCCTCAGGTCCTCAGGTCCTCAGGGTCCCCTGAGGGTGAGTCTCAGTCGTCATCAGGTCAGGTCATAGAGAGATGTCATCTTGGTCATCAGTAGGGTCCAAGCCATGGTTTTGGTCTCTCCAGTTGGACATCGGATCTCCAGATACAGTCTTTTCACTCGAAGCACATCAGGTCATTTGCGATGCACTTCTGGTCAATGGTGCAGTGTCTCAGTTCCTGTACACAGCTTGTAATGCAGTAGTTACTCTCTATGGTTAAGTCACTTTGATTCTACTTTAAAGACAATTTCTATTCATGCTGTTGCTAATGTCCCTTAGACAAAAGCAAGCGCAATGATTCAGTTTACTTCTCTAATTTGGGTTTGGGTTTTTATCAGATGTAATCAATGTAATTACTTCACACAGTACAAAATCAACATAATCAAAAGTGTCAGGACAGAGGTCAATTAGTCCATGACAATATAGAATTCAAATGAACATTTCTGGTCTCAAAAATACAGATTCAAATAAAGATTCAAGTGATTAGACAATTAAAAATAAGTGTTTACATTGGAGTAAACTTTTAAAATGCTTTTTTCTCATGTTCTGCTTTTTCATGTATCTATATGTAAATGTGAATGTGTGAGTGTATGTGTGTGTATGTGTGTATGTGTGTGTGTGTATGTGAATTTTGGGGTTGTTTCTCCAGACTCCTCGAACCACCTGTAGGTGTCAAAGGTCACACTGTGGTGATGTAAACCAACTGGACACACTCTCAACTCTCATTCAGGTCTCTCCCTGATGCTCCACCCATCACGTCTCCAGATACCTCTCTTTCATGGCCCCGGTCTCTCTCACACCCACTCAGTTCTGCAGTGGCGTGGGGAGGGGCAAGGAGGTGGCATTTCCCTTTGCTCTTAGCTCTGTGACCTGTGGCTGGGTGGGCTTTGCGCTGTCCAGTGTCCAGCAGTGACCCCTCCCACAGTGTGCCAGAGTCTGAAAAACAATCCTTGAGACGGCCAATTTAAAAAAACAATAGATATCAGTATGCGAATGAGATTGTTTTTCTCCCTGAAGTCAAAACAATTTTGGAGCGCTCTGGGTTTTTCAACATGCGCTATGTAAATAAAGATTACTTATTATCTTACTAATGTGAAACTTTTTAAAACCAGAAACTCTTAATAAAAAACAAGACTCAAATCTCTTAAACCTTTTAAACTTTAAAAAATGTATTCTATTTTGTACTTCTGTACTGTGTGATGTTTTTAATCTTGGCGTCCTTGGATTTCTTGAAATGCGCCATAAAATAGAATGAATTATTATTATTACTCAAATCGCAACTAAAACTGTATGAAAAATCTCCCTTTTACACTTGAACATTTAAAGCATATATTCTAATTTAAGATAATTGCTGCATTCTTCAAATGCACTCAATAAACTTTTAAAAACATTTTGAATTAACGGACGTAATCAAACTCTGCTCGCTCTGCAGTGAGCAGCAGCTGCAAGGCCAGAGCTATAGACAAAACAAAACTCACAAAACTTACAGCTTTTAGACTGTAAATTGGGTCACAGTTTAACTTAATAATACTTTTACAGCTATCCTGTTCTATTCCTAATCCCTCTTTTCTTTTTTACACAAACTCTATAAATCAATCATTCTAATCACTTTTAACACGGATTCTAATTTAAATGTTTGAAAAATGGCTTTTGTAACTAAAATAAAAACATAAAAAAATTCTCACAAACAGCTATGAAATATATCAGAGATACAATAATGGACTCACAAAATAAGCAGCAGATTTAAAAAGAAAAGCAAAGCTTTTTGTACTAATCTTTGGGTTTCAAAAACATACTAATTCAAAACTTCTTTTTACTAAATGGTGTTTAAAAACGTTTAACTGTGTCATAACACAATGTTCAATGGCAAATTTCGCAAATTTAACTGAATAACAACTATGAAAAGCCAAAAATCCTAAAGCAGTAGCTCTGATTCAGAGCCAGAGCAGCGAAGGTGGGGGCCGTTTCCCTGACAACGGCAGCAGATAGAGATGTGCACACACAGGCAGAAAGATACAGAAGAATAACTTTCAAGATTACTTTGTTAAGCAAATATAACTTATGTTGTTCTTTATACTTTTGTCATCCAAGTCTAGAAATGATCACTTTCCACACTAGTAACAAAAGGCACTCTTTAGTGTTTAACGTTTCCCTTTTTATAATTACTTTTAATTTTACACCATGGTTTCACTTACTATTTTCTATTCTCTATTCTCTGCCCCGGCTACTCCAAAGGCAGGGACCCCGATACGTCAGGGGTTCCTTTTTCCTATAGGGACTGGTTACCCACACAGCTAACCTGTTTTCTACAACATAAGACATGACAAAGACGTGACAAAGACATAACAAAGAAAATTTGATTTAGAGAGATTTGGACAGACCTCCGGGACAGCTCAAAATTTAGCTAGTATCCAATTATGCAGACTTTACATATTAAAAAAGGTGTCTGCTTACCTTAATTCTTTGTCCGGACTGTTCAAGAGGTCAGCCAACTTCTTTTCCGCGTCGGAATCTTCAATTTAAAAAACAAAAGTGACAGAAGCGACAAGAAGCATCCAGGAACAGCTCTTCCAGCCTGCTGGAATCTCCGCTCCCAGACACAGCATGCCGGTCTCTCACGCCGAGGAAAAGAAACAGAGCAAACTCCCTCAAAACAATCCAGAGAATGGCACAAACCGAGCCGCGCATTCTCCACCAAATCTGTTAGGATTTAGCAGACAGAGACGGATCGTGGTGTGCCAAACTCTGGAAGTTTATTTAAGTTTCTCTCAAGTTCCACTGGTTTACTCTGTTTCTTTCTCTCAGACAGAATAAAGGCAGTACACAGTTTATATAGTCATTGTCACGTCACACATCGAAAGACATACGTGTCACAAAGAGACAGTCAAATCATAGTCATAACATGGAGTCCTTGTAGAGTCCTTGTACAGTCCTGCACGTAGGCCATATTGCTATCTAATACTAACACATGCTGTATAAATAACTTATTTACCAAACTCTCTCAGGCTTACACATGCTTTTATTTCTTATACATGATAAAGTCTGCTTGGAAATACACTCACAAACATGATAAGAAGGTTTCAAAAATGCATTGGAGTGCATATTAAAGTTAAACCATTTTATTGCGTAATTAGACTTTAAAACTTGAACCATATCCAACACAAACACACATTTGAATACAAAAATAGACACATCTTGACTTATTTTCCACCAGTTTTTATTTGAACCTTATTTTGAAGGTTCTCTTAAAGGAGAACCTTCAAATCAACAGATATGTGTTTGATTTATTGCAAAAAACACTTCTTTTTTACAACTTAAATCATATATATTGAAGAATTTAGGTTCAAATGCAAAGGAAAAACATTGTGTATTTTTCATAATAACGTAACATATTAGTGTGGAGCTATGATAGTTTTTTGTTTGGAATAGGAGGACCATGGGAATAACAACTACTTTAGTGATAATCATATACCATGGTTTTCCATTAGTTTCATTGATTTATTTAGAAAGGATAGCAACACAAAGCAGATGTGTGCGTATATTTGATGTTTATGGTGTATTGCAAATGTTCTGGATCTAATGATCTGTTTTCACATGCTGTGCTTGTGAGGGCTATAAACAGGAGACGCTGCCAATCAGTAACACAGAGCTGATTCAGCTTTCATCGTTCTGATGAGTCTGCGATTCAGGAGCCGGTCGCAGCACAACACTGATCTAGATCCAACGCGGACAAATCAATACTCTCTTATTGTGTGTGTGTCTGATGAGAGGTCTGTTGAGGTCACATCGCTGGCATAATTATTTTCATTTATTTTGTATAGCCCTGAATCATACAGCAGTCGTCTCGGAGGACTTTATAACGGATTAGAGATTCAAACAGTACGAAAAAATGAAATGCAATGATAAATGCCCATAATCGTAGCTGTCCTCAGACCCTTCTGCATCTGCAAGGAACAACTCGGACGGACAGACTGCAGTTTTTTGTCTCTCCACAAGAGGAGATGTAATATGCAACATTGTCTTTATAACTTTGTTACAATGGCTGTAATCAAAAACAGACTGGACGTTGTTTTGGCTCCATCCACACTAATAACAATACAATATGACTTCATGGACAGAGCTGTTTTCTGTCTTTAAAGAATCAATATTAACTACAGATGGACTTAATAACAGCGAGCCCCAATTACATCTCTAATGTATCAGGTTTACTAAAATAGCAAAAGAGTTGATTATTAAGTTCTATTACATTTATTTGTGTTTAGCCCTAAATCACAACAGCAGTCGTCTCGGAGGACATAACAAAGTTGTCCCCAACAGCAGAAAAAAGAATAAAACCAATCGAACATATTTGGGATGACCACTGTCCAGAAATGTTAATACATTTTTTTAAATGTCCTGGAACATCATTGTCAGACCCTCGTGCAGAAGATCCCATGGTCTAATGGCAGAAAATTGCACTCTTTAACTTTAAACTTCATGTAGCATGTACTCATTATGACTCGTTACATAATTCTGTCAGCAAGCTCGCCTTTCCATGGATCTAACCTACATTTCAACCTGTTGGAATCACCTGCTATTCAACATTCCACACAGCAATAACATCCTGGCTCGTGCTGACAATGATGCCTTTAAAAAGGGATCCTCAAATGAACGAAAAAGGAAAAGCATGAACTCTTTTGTGCATATTTGGCTTTCAAAAATAATATTTTCATTTGGCACCATTCTATTTTCTCCAGAGAGCAGTTTGGCGTCTTGGCCCTGTTTAATCTGAAAAGCCTTTAGTGTACGTTCATGTGACACCGCTGCTGTCGGAGCAAACGTTCAAAGCGGAAAATGATCAAAGTTGGATCCGAAGTTCAGAGGGGCCTCCCGTCGAGACAAGAGCAGGTCATCAGCCAAGTCTGGGAAAATGGAAAGCCTTGAGAAAAGATTTATGGCGCAATGTTTTATAATACCTCAAAAAAATGATGAATATGAAATAAACTGGACAAATAAATTAAAGTGTTGTTTTCTTCAATTTCATTTTTTGTGGGGACATTTTGGACAGTAAGAGCACACCATTGGCACGCAAAAATACATAGATTTTGTATATTTGTGTGTGCTCCCTGTGTGCTCTTACTACTGTCCTGTATATGCGCTGCAACATTGAAATTTCCCCACAGTGGGAAGAATAAAGGATCTCTTATCTCACTGTATCTTATGTAAATGCTTCTTTGATAGTTGAAATTTCAATGGGACTGGGCTGTTATTATTATCTGTAAGCGTGTAATCATAATGCAGTATACTGTACGTACATACAGAGGTTTTTTGGACTGTTTTAGGTTTCAAAAAGGTTTCAAAAATAACTTTCCTCCAGCACTACTTGGCTCTACTCTACACTACTCTACTCTGCTCTTCTCAAACTGGCTGCATTTTCATTACGCTTTAGCATTTGGTACTGCATTCTAGAGACTTACCCACAACAAAACAGTATCTGTGGATATTTCTTGGTCACCGTAAATTCCAGCAGCACACTGGCCAAACTCTGGCAGTTGAAGTACTTTAGCACCAGCCGAGATAGAACAAGGGCCAAGAGGGACTGAAGAAGGACCTGGTACTGGTTCAATGGGGCCAGTGGACATGCTCCTAATCAGAGTAGACTTGTATCAGAAGTAGGGCCAAGTAGGTCTGGCAAAAAAGGAAGTATAGTTTTAAAATAGTTTTGGCTTATGTTCTAGTTTAGCACCGCCAGTAAAAATGGCAATAATTAGATATTGAATCATCTTTATGACTGCTTTGGTTCCACTGAAGACGATTGCGCAGTGATCTAACTGAAATAACTGGCAGCGTAGGGTGTTTATAATTTGTTTAAGGATTTATGGCAAGTATGGAGCGGAACTAATCTCAGTCAGTACATGATGTCCTTGAGCACAAGTGCAGTGGTTCAAATAATAGTGGTTTTTGTCATTTACACACTGAACGTTTTTTGACTACTTTACATTATTTGTTACTCTTTGGAACAATTTACGTGTGTGTATGTGTGTGTGTGTGTGTGTCTGTCTTTGCCTGTGTGTGTGTGTGTGCCTTTGGGTACGTGTCGTTTTGAAGACATGAAAACTTGGCATATACCTGTGTTTATGATAATTGTACAGGATTTACTTGCATGTATCGCATGTATTTAGTAAATGCACCTATAAACACATAACCGCTATATTTGCGTGTGGATCTCATTGTTGGCCTTGAACAAACACACACAGATTTTAAAAAGGGTTTTGTCGCTTTAAAAGAGCTGCGAATTCATGAATGAAACGCAGCCATTCATAAAGAACACGGAGGAGGGGCGTTTCTGGGAGCTGTCACGCGATTGGTTCAGGCTGCGAAACGACGTCTCGCGCGGCCAATCAGCGGCCAGAACAGAGGTCGGTTTGGAATCGGGACCCAGGGAGAAGCTTCATTGAGAAAAACAGAGTAGAGTTTTGTACGCGGCCGTGCGGACGATGTAGCTGCGAGATACACGCTTGGATCAGCACGATTGAGGATTACGAACGTCACAAGAGGTAAATAGCGTGGGTTTTGCGTGTAAATAGCCAGAAATATGCACGGTATGGATGGTCTTGCGTGCTTGATTTGCTTCAGGTATTGCCCGCGTTGACGGTGGTGGAGGGGAGACATGCAGCCAGAGCCACAACCACTGCACACTCGCCATTTTCTGCGTGTATCTTGGGTGGTGACTGTATTTTTCCGCGTCTGTCAGCATTGTTCTGACGCTGCATCGCGCCTTGGTTGTGATTTGTAAAAGCTGAATTATTAACAGTGCATGTTCTGAGCCGTGGCATGGCGCTGTTCCCCCTCCTCCTCCTCCCTGCGATTTATTAACCCCTTTTGGGAGAAGATCGGGTTTCAGCCCATTGAGAAAAACAAGGTCCGTGCGTCACCATCAGCTCCATTCACAAAAAACTGCCAAGAGAGAGGCACGCAGGGACGTCACTACGGGTTATAAAGCCAGGGGTTTAAATAGAGCAGCCACAAAGACTTTGAAACATTAAAGTATTACATTTGACAGAGCCAAATTCAAAGCTTTTTACAGCTCGGGTACATAACTTAAAACAACAGAAAAGATTGAACTAAGAATCAATTTTCCTTGTTCCTAGCTCTCATAACAGTTTGGTTCTATCACTCGTCTTCACATGCATGTCAGTTTTGTTCTCTGGCTGATCCAAATACAAAATCATTTAGCTCTCAGCCTAGCCAAGACATGTTGGGACAAACAACATAATTTAGGAAAGACAATAAAATCCCCATATTTTAGAATCTTGTCGTTTGTTTGTGAAACTAGAGTAAGAAAAACGCATTTAAATAATTTTGTTCATTTATTTCTATTTTTGTACCAGCAAAGTACTGGAACAAATGTTACCAAAATGTGAGAAAGTGAATGCATTTCTTCAATGCTAAACTGGCAATAATGATGATTGTTGTTTGATTTCTGTCAATGTGAAGTGTTATGTTTAAACTTACCACTGGTGCAAGTTGGAAGATTCTAGAGCTGGAAAAATATGCTTTTCTGTTTTCCCTAGTCTACATTAAAACGTCTTTTCAACCTTGTCTTAAACTTGTCTTGACCAAACATGGAGCTACTGTCATCTGGGGCTTTTTACAAGTACGGGAAATTTAGAAAGCAGTTGGAAAACTCTTAAAACAGAAGCCATTTGGAAAATAAACACCACAGGAGAAACACCTACTTTGAAAAGAAATGCACATATGTTTACCCCCCATTTATAGCATTGAAATAATGAAAGATATTACTATTGTGTTTCAGAGTGAAGACTTGGGTCTTGCGATGGATGGCTTCTATGACCAGCAGGTGCCCTTTGTGGCCCCTGAGAGGGTGAGAAAAAGATTTTTGTATTTATCAATTTTGTCTCATTCTTCCTAAACTAGCTACAACACCATACATGCCAATAAACCAACTATAATTCTGTTGTAACAGATGATCTGGGCCATTAATAAGACACGAAGGCAGAAATATCTTTGGAAAATTATGGTTATAACCAGGGAGGCATATAAAGTGCAGAAAGCATGCGCGACAAAAATCAGAAAAACTATTATCACTTGAGTTCGTAAGTGCCTTTGCGTACTTCACACAGACCAGTTCTCAAACTGGTGTGTGGTGCAATGCCAGGGGAGGCGCGTGACTGTGGGGCTGTTGCGGTGGCTTTGTAATGATGCCTGTGAACCGCTCTGACAACGACGCATGTCTCCTCCCCAAGGTCAACTAAAACTCGCTAAATTAAGTAGTAATCGTAGTAGTAATCTTTATTTATATACCGCCTTTTCACTGCACATCGGAGTCTCAAAGCGGTTTACATTTGTTATTTTTGGGAGTGGGGGTGCCAGTACAGGAGGCACATGCCAGACCTATTGTACATATTTTTAGTGGTAGGGGAAACCGGAGCACCCGGAGGAAACCTACGCAGACACGGGGAGAACATGCAAACTCCACTCAGAAAGGCCCTGGTCCAACCGGGATTTGAACCCAGGACCTTCTTGCTGAGAGGCGAGAGTGCTATCCACTCAGCCACCGTGCCGCCCTAAAGCTGGGATACCTACATTCTGCATTGCAATAATTATACATGATGGTTTTTACCAAAAGTCCAATGTTGAGAACAGCGGGGTTTTTTTTTCTAGAGGAGATAAGGAGGACCAATTGTTGAGATGATCCACCCAGGAGTAGAAAATCATTCAATATACCTTTTTAAGAAGGAGCCCTGTAAGTCACTATGACTTTTTTGTCAAGTTTAGAAGAGAAGTGTAATATCTTGATTGAGAACCATTCGACAAATGGGGTGAGTACCAAAGTGTCCTGCTGGGTAAAAATGAAGACCTGCAGCCACACCGGGCCTTTCTGGAACCAGTTTAAGTATTTTTATATTGAGCATTAATCCAAAATAACAAACGGTTGTTGCAGAGATGTGCCACTGAAGAAGACGCGCGTTTAAACAGCCGGAAAAGGAAATACATGGACACAGAACTGGCCCAAGACACCGAAGGTAAGGATGACTTTATAATCAGTCATGTCACGTAATAAGTTGAAATACACACTCTAACTTTCTACATCCCACTCCTCAGACCTGTTCCAAGATCTTTTCCAGCTGCAGGAGATCTGGATCGCTGAAGGTGACGTTTGAAATGACAGAAAATCACTATTTATAGATTGTCTGTAAATAGACTGTATTTTAATTTAGATTTTTTTGTTCTCTGCAGCCCAGTCTCCGGACGACGAGCAGTTTGTTCCAGATTTCCAACCAAACAATGGTAAAAACACACACAAGTTTTACTAAAGCAAGTCAAGTGACAGTCGGACCATGCTGACCTCAAGAAAGACCATTCCCAGTCCATGTTTCTACAATACTTCAATCTACTATTCACAAATAGATGTTGTAGATGGTAGACTCCGGTCGGAAACTCTCCCGATTGTTATGACGGGAAGCGAAGGCTGTAAACCGGACTTCACCTGTGGATCTGGGCCGGTGTCGTCACGTCGTGTTTTTAGCTCCGCCGTTAAACCAGGGAATTTATGACCTTTCAGGACGCTTGTGTTTGAACAGAGGCTGGAGGCGGAAATGCAGAGACGCAATGACGTAAAAGTGAAATTACAATCGGTTCGAATGAGAAGCCACTGAAGGCTCGATTCAAAGAAAAGGCATTACAAAACTATGGAGAAGATTATCGGTCCATGTTGATGGTGGAGCTAAGAAATCTCCCAATGCTGTGTGTATTTCTGTGTAATACAAAAGCAATTGAGAACAAAAAGGGTTATGAAAAAGTAAGACACAAAATGGTTAGCGCTGGGATCTTACTACCGGACTAATATAAGTGAAAATAATTATTCTAATTGACGTCTTCTTCCCCCAGTGTGTGCGAGCGGTCCAGCGGTGCAGAGAGTGAAGCGAGAGCCCAGCCCCAGCTCACAGTCCCCCTGCCGGACCCCTCAACGGGACATGTGCCTTTATCCTTACAGGTGACACATTTGACTGTTTTTAAAGATTTGATGTCAAAGGATATTGTTTTAAAGTCATGGCTTCTGTGGCTGAGAGCGGGTTGCTTTTGAGATTCGCTTTTACCTCGTGTGTGACTAAATCTACAGCCGCACAGTCAAAGCGGGGGGAGTTTCAGAAGCGTTTTTCTGCAGACTCGGAGTAGGCTCAGTACATGTTTGCATCCCCATGAATTAAGACAATGAAGTAAGGATTTAACGGTAGACTGATAGATTTCTCTCATCTCAATTCTCCCCTCACTCTCCCCATTTAAAAAAAATCTCATCTCATCACTCTCCCGCTCTTGCTCTGCTAACTCCTCTCTCTCCCCTCTTACCGGTTTCTCCTACCTCGTCTCTCTGAATCAGAAGTCAGGACCAGAAACTCGTTTGGGCCTCGTTGCTTGCCTCGAGAATATCTGGCAACCCTGACTCCGCACCTGCAGCACATGTGTAATCAGAGCTGGAGCCACATGTTCCTGTGTTTAAGTCACATTTCACACAAACACATGGACATGAAGTCTGATCACGTCTGTATCACAGTAAATCAGTTGCTTTGTGGGAGTCGACACAGGGCTGTGGTCGGCCTGCTGCGGCGGTGAGTCTTGCCTCCCGCTTCGCGCACGTTTACACCTCAGCTTCAGCCATTCAAATGTTTGTGAATTGTGCAATGTCCGGCCGTGGGCTGTGGTCTTTCCTGAGGTTGCTGTTTTCTCCCAGTGTTTGTTGCTGCTGCAGGAGAGTCTCAGGACAGAGCATGGTCCAAGGTCCGAAATATTGGTTAAATTAGTTATCCTCTTGGCAAAGTTTTGTATAGCACAGTTCATACACAGGGCAATTTGGCGTGCTAAACAAAAGCATTAAAATCACACGAGGCATTACAATCCTAAAAATGCTATGGACCCCAATGATATGCTGTTTTATTGTTTTTTGTGGGGTTTTTTTGTGTTGCACAAACAGACTATTTAATAATTGAATATTAGTAGTATTTTTTTTTTCCTGGTCTGATCCCACACCGCAGCTTTAGTCTCCTAACCTTGACCTCTGTCGCAGACGAAGCCAGTCTATGTGGTTGTGATGTCACACACAGATGATAGATGGATGTCTCTGATCTGACACCAGCTCTTTAGGTGCGGGTGTTAAATGTAGTTTTGGAGTGTGCCGCTGTCGTCCTCCTGTTTATGCAGCTCTGACTCAGACGTGTCTCCGCTTGTGCAACAGTCTGTTGCTCTCCCCAACCACAAACTGCAGCGTTTAAAGCGGACAAAACACAAGGATAAACAGGAAGCATGGGACACGCAGCTCATATCTGCAGGAGTTACAACATTTATTTGTGTAGCGCAGATTGTGTACAAGGCCAATATATGCACATTTATCAAAAGAACAGTCAATTTATTTGATACATTTTATTTGTTTTAATGTTTATTGTATTTGTGTATAACTTATGGCCTAAATCACATCAGCAGGTGCCTCAGAACTTTACTAAGTTGCCAATTCACCAACAACAAATCAGACATAGTTGTCTGGAAAAGCAAAAAACGAACACATGGGAGCCATTGGTCTAAAGGGAGCAGGATGAGCACTGTCCAGAAATGTCCTGGATCTGCACTGTGCTTAGCCTCTTAGCTTCTTAGCCTCGGCTTCAAACGTGTAGGATTAATCACAACAGTTTACATCATATTTAATTATATTTATTCAGGACTCGAGCAAAGATGGTGTTACTTCCGTAAACATCCAAATCTCCTCTCTCCATTTCACTTTGGACTATAGCTTCTACTGGACCCCTGACTTTCTCCTTCGGGGATCAATAAAGTATTTATATCTATCTCTCCAGTGCCTCCTGTGAAGCCAAACCAGCCGCTCTCAAAGGCCCGCCTCTGCTTCAGAGACAAGCTCACCCATTGGTCACTCCGCCTGTCCGTCACTGCCCTCAGGCCCCGCCTCCTCCTCCTCACCACAGTCTCCCGCAGCAGCAGCAGTTTGTCCTGCCTCATGCTCCAGCGCCCCCCAGTGGAGGCTACAGCACACAGCAACGGTCAGTCAGGTTCACAACACTTTGGGACGTTAAGACAAAAGAATTATTTCTATAGATTTGTGCAATAGTTTGATCTTACTCATTTTAACCAAACAAAAGCGTGAATTCTGGGTTAATGCTTAAATATTGCATGGAGTTCATCTTATTGGAAAACGTGTTATATTTTATGTAAGAAAGAGCCCTGTGAATTGACACTTTGGGCTGAGACCTGAGTGAGGGTTCTAGTGTAAAAGTTGGGATTCCTAACTTTCAAACCACAACAAAAGCTAAAGTTGATTAAAGATAGGGTTACAGTTTACGTTAAGTGTAGAACGAACATGCTGTATTTGTCTCACATTTGTATGAAGGAGCTAAGTGAGTCACTATTTGACACTTTGGGCTGAGAGCAGGTTCGGTTGTTTTCCCCACTTGACTTTTCTGTCTGAAAAAGCTCATTTCAAAGCTGTGAAGGCTGTAAATGCTGTCAGGAGTTTCTGGGAGCTACATCGTTGATTATAAAGATCAGTCTGTTGTGCAGTTTCCAGAGGCAGCTATCGGAGCCCAGTCTTCAGTTCCTGCCCCCTGGCTCCTCCCCCTCGGCTCGCCCGCTCTACCAGAGGCATCACTCGGAGCCCCTGGTTCAGGCCCCGGCTCCGCTCTTCAAACAGGAGCTGGTGGACCCCCTGTACCCTCCCTCGTCCACACAGAGCAGCTACCGACATGTCAGCATCAAACAGGAGCCCAGGGACCACGCCTTCGACACCGGTGAGGACAGTGCGGGGGTTTCTCATGAATAACATCTTATAGTGACATCACAACATTCCAAGGAGCCAAAAGCTTAGATTTGTGGTGACTTAAGAGAAATCTGTCAAATTGGATTTCTCTTATTTTAGAGATTATTTCAAAGTTTTACATGTCTTTGTCAGCACATAACTATGCTCTCTCTCTTAGAATTTTTTCTGGTCTCTTGGTCTCTCATCGTCATGGATTTGATCACACCGTTCAAAAGTTTCATTGCTGCTGTTTGTGTTTTCCAGATGTCCAAAGCTGCCAATCTTCCTTTGAAAAGCCCCCACATTTATATCACAGTAACCAGCACGGTGAGTTTGCTCTTTCTGGAGGGATTGGTCTTATATTTGGGCTTTGACTTAACGTGATTCATTTCCTCTGAGCAGGATTCGCTCACAGAGACCCGCAGATGTTTTACGACGACACGTGTGTGGTTCCCGACAGACTGGACGGTGAGTTACACGGACACAGGTGGAGAGGAGATTGAAATCTGGTGGAGATGGGTGGGTTTGTCTCTCTAGATCAGTGTCTCCCAAAGTGGGGTCCGCGGCCCCCTGGTACCGCGAGGGTACTGCAGGGGGGCCGCGGGAGGTCATAAAAAAAATAAAAAATATAATTATTTAATGTTAAATTTATAATGTTTTGTTTGTAATATTAAAATATTTGTGTTCATTATTTGACTTGAATAATCCACTGTAATCATTTTTGTATTACAATGTTTGTAGCAGAGGCTATTTCCCCAAAATAAAATAACCAGAAGAGCCTATTCTTAATGTTGTCTTCTTGGTTATTATTTTGGGGGGCCACGCAGACCCGTCAGATTTTTAAGGGGGCCTCGGTGTTACTGAGTTTGGGAATGGCTGCTCTAGATAAAAAAGATTCTGGTGGTCCCTTAGGTAAGATGAAGTGTGAGGGTCTGCCGTACCAGCGCCGTGGCTCCCTGCAGCTCTGGCAGTTTCTCCTGACGCTGCTGGAAAACCCCAACAACTCTCACCTGATCGTGTGGACGGGTCGCAACATGGAGTTCAAGCTCATCGACCCCGAGGAGGTGAGGGCTGAGGACCTACAGCACGTCTGCACATGGACAGTCCATCAGAGTGTGTGTGTTCATGTGCGTGTTCTGTCTCAGGTGGCCCGTCTGTGGGGAGTTCAGAAAAACCGTCCGGCCATGAACTACGACAAACTCAGCCGCTCTCTGCGTTACTATTACGAGAAAGGAATCATGCAGAAGGTACTAAAGACAGGGTTTTAACATGGAACAGTTTAATTTGAGTTCAGGACTTAGACGATTGTAGAACGGAAGCGTGTTTCTTTGTCACATGGTCTACTCCTGGTTCTGAGGAACATCACATGTAGTTGTTAAGACCATGTATTGCAACCCTAACTTTCCTCGTCTCTCTTCCTGGTTTCTTCAGGTGGCTGGGGAACGATACGTCTACAAGTTTGTGTGTAACCCGGACGCCCTGTTCTCCATGGCCTTCACCGAGAACCCGCGGCAGAACCAGATCAAACCCGATCCGGACGCACAACTCCGAGTCCCGGACGCAGACGGACCGGTGCTGCCTCCTTTCGACGAGGACGGTCCCTACCTCCCAGACGTCACGGAGCAATGCATCATGGAACTTCCCTACGCAGAGTCGTGCCCGTACCAGAGCCTCGCCGAGCCATTCAACTGATCCGCTCGATGTAATTCACTTTTATACACAACACACACGATGCTGGATTCAATGGAATGAGTTTAAAAAGTGCTTATGACAGAAAATCTAACCGGTCTGGAACAGTTATAACTAGTAACAAACCATATGGGATAGTTCTAACCAGTTCAACTACTTTATCAACTTTGATTTAAAAGTATTTCAGAAAGATAAAATCCCAGTCATTGGCATTGCCTTATTGCTAAAAAGATTAAATGTCACTGTATCTGTGTCTTCCCAGTGTGGGCTCATCTGTCATACGCACTTTTTAATTGGCTAAAATGACATTTCTTGCCACTTGTACAGGTCATATTTATGCCCACAATTGTTTTATAGCCAGTACGTATATCTGCTGACCAAAAATTTGAAACCTGTTATTTCTATATTGTAAGGGACTTTTAAAACGTATAGTTGCTTTTCTGACAGAATATTTTTGGCTGATGTTACGCTCTAAACATGTATTTCTTAATGGCTTTTGATAATTGTTTGCTTCATGTTTAGAGAGATGTATAATTCTGTACGAAGTTATATTTTTGCTAAAGCTTGGACCCTCTGCTGTTCTGTGCCTTCTGTCTTTACCTGAACAATAAACTGTTAAACATGTGGCAACATTTTATTACATTAAATAGTTAGAAAACGTGGTTCAACATTTTACAAAAGACTTTATAAAATAGTGGTTCAATCCATAGCAGCAGAATGTCCTCAGCAGCACCTGCAAAGACAAAGGTAGTTTACAGAGATTACAATCAGTTTCAGCATTTTTTTTAACACCAGGGTCTTGTAGAACGCCACAGCAATTTTGGATTTGTCTCGTTTTAACCCTCTCCCTTATCCCCAGAGCAAAATGACACACCCTAAAGTAGAGTCAAAAGGATCGAAATCACCCAGGGCTGGTCAAGTTTGGACAAATTAGACATATTTTTTTAATCCAGGTGAATCCTACTCAGATTCTACACAGACTGAAATAACTAACGCACAAATAGTGGGATTATATAAAGCTGAATCCCACTACATCCTGTTACTTAGAGCATTTGATTTTCCAAGATACATTTCCGACTGCAACAAGATTATTTGCTAATTATCTCATTTAACACAGGTCAGGGTACTTCAAAGATTAAAATATTTCTAAAAGACTTCTCCTTGTGCTCTTGAATGCATCTGCAGGCCTCATTTCAGTAGTATCCAGTGTATATCAGTCACAGCAAACTCCTTAACTCAGCAGCAGGAGGAGCAGGACTCACCTTCAGTTGTCCTTCTTGGAGTCCAGCTCGTCGATCAGTTGCTGTGTTTTCTGAGCCAGCCGCAGTTTCTCCTCCTCTTGTTTCTTCATCTCCTTCTCAGCTTTTTTAGTCTGGTAGATTTTCGCTGCAGCAAAAGCCAAACACAAGAGCAGAGTCTTCAGCGCCAGGATGTAGAGCAGCAACGGCACATTGTCCAAGGCCTGAGGGCGGAGGCAAGAGATGTGGAAACAGACTTTTACAGACAGCAAAGACTTAAGACTCAACAACTCATTCTCAAACTACATTGGCGTGTTAAAGCTGGGTTACTAAACTTAACAGATATAGAATACATTTAAATAATCTTATTCCAAATAGTTGGTTGGTTGTTTTTCCCGCAAACATTTTTATTGCTACTGCGTAAACCAGACACAAGGGATTACCAGTGATTATTTTACTTTGTGTACAAGTAAATTGGTTTCATAGTGATTCCAACATCTGCTCTGGATTCTAATTCAGTCCCTTCTCGAGGCGACAGCTGCGTAGGCCAATGCAGACCACAACAAGTTTGATTTAGAATAAAAGTATAAAGTAAGAAAAGTGAAATTAGCTTCAAATTTGAGACTCAGCTCGTTTAAGAGACTCTTATTTTGTCATTTTTTACTTGGCATAGATATAACACCATAGTGTGTTTTGACTGAATCTGCTGAGTTCTTGTGTGTCCAATAGTGTTTGTTTGTTTTTATTTTTGATTTGATTTTTGTTTGTTTTGTTTTTTTCCCAGGATAGAGGATATAATCCACTGATATTGATTTGATGATTATGAGTTTAATGCATACATTTTCTTTGTTTTTTAATAATTTTTTGAAGTTTTTTTTGGAATTTTTTTTTTTCTTTTTCCATTTTATTGATTGATCAAATTGAGTGATCACATGTGATTATGTGATCAAAGGGGAGGGTGCTAGTATTAGATAGCAATATGGCCTACGTGCAGGACTGTACAAGGACTCTACAAGGACTCCATGTTATGACTATGATTTGACTGTCTCTTTGTGACACGTATGTCTTTCGATGTGTGACGTGACAATGACTATATAAACTGTGTACTGCCTTTATTCTGTCTGGGAGAAAGAAACAGAGTAAACCAGTGGAACTTGAGAGAAACTTAAATAAACTTCCAGAGTTTGGCACACCACGATCCGTCTCTGTCTGCTTAAATCCTGACACATGTTTCAGAAGAGGACCACAAGAGGGCGCTACTGTTCTGAGTTCACCCCACTGTAATGTCTGTGTCATGTCATGGTCATTACTCTCGCCAGCAGAACGATAATAGGGATTAGCCAAAAGATGTGTCTCAATGCAGAACACAAAGAACACTACAGCCAGTTTGTACAGTATGCTGAATTCTGTAAAGGATTAGAAATATGTGAATAATATTTTGAATCCACCCAAGCTTGAAATGTTCTACAGAGTGACGTATGTTTGCAGAAAAAACTTAGAATGCCCAAGTAGGAAAACGAGTGTGCGAAAACTGGCCTCCCCCATTTTGGTCTCTATGATAATGTTGTTTGTTTGACTATACTTTTCCACAACATGGTATAAAATATGTAATTATAGAAATGATTATCTTCAAAAGAGGTGTTTTTCTTTTATTTAAGAACCTCATTGAAAACGACTTCCAACAAGCAACAATAGCATTATACACTGAAGAATGCTGGACTGTAGAGCAGCAAATGGTTTATAAATATTCTTATGATTTGAGCTAATGCCAATGTAACGCACCAATCGTGGGTTTTTTTCACGCATACATTTTGGAGTTACGATCTTGATCAAGTGGTTGGAAAGAAAGAGCAAACGTGCAAATTGATTTCTTTGGGGACACATAACACATATTTCTATTATTGCACAACTATACTGGAAGTTTAGTGTGACAGAAACACACCAAGGGACTGGCAAGAAGAAAGATCCTGCATGATTCATAAAGTGTAACTAAATAACTTTATCACTTAATAACTAACTTATTAAGTGAAACTATTGTAGGTATATATTCAACACAGTCCTCAAATGGCCGTGTAGCAGGAGCACAGCAGACTCCGCCCATTTCCTCGAATCTTCGGGTGAAGACTGGACTCACTTGGGGAAATTCTGGTGTACTCCTGCTCGGTTAGATGAAAACCTGCAGCCACACAGCCCTTTGAAGACCGAGTTGAATACCCCTGAACCTGGAGCATGCTGTCAAAGGCCAGATGCATAGACGGGGAAATGGAAACAGGAGCTGAATGGACTTCCTTTTTAACACTTTTATGTCATTGCAGACAATAAAACACGACACAGGAACGTCTGAGGTGAAATGTAGCAAACACGATTCGTCATAAACACTTCATGTAGCCAGAGGAGAAGCAGATTTCTGTCATGATGCTCCTTGTAAATAGAATGCTTTACCTATGAAGTTATTCAAGAGAAAACTAAAGACTTACTTGATCAATGTTTTCTATAGATATCTTTTGGTGTTAGACATATTGGGCTACAGTTTTTGTGTGAAATGTGCTAGACAAATAAATATTCTTCCACTTTGCAGTTGCTTTTGGTTGCCAGTTCCAAGGCAGCAGCAGAAGCTCGAATGCTCTGTATTCATGATGGGCTCCAGATCCCAGTTTTATTCAACATTTCCAATTAGATATTAAGCTTAAATTTGAATTGACAATCAGGATGGCAACGATTATCAATTCTTGCAAAGCCATTCTATAAAACCCATGAACACTTTTATTGGAATGGGAAAGAACTACTATAAGGGGTTCCATTAAATCAGCACAAATAATTATGATTTCATTTAAAAAGAGGGTATATGTAACATTCAAACCATAAACGTATTTAACTACCAACTTGCTTTATCACTACTTTCCACATGCATGTCTTTCTGGCCTCTGTCACATCTGTGGATCAGCTTTTCAAACAGAAGTGAAAAGGAGAGGACTACACTGCAAATAATGATAAAATATGAGGTAATAATTGCTTGAATTGAGGGTTTTATCTAAATCTGAGAACATTCTGACTTTTGAGATTCTGAGATCTTCCAGTGGGACAAAGCCATTTAGTCTGATTTATTTTCTCATACCAAGGGAGACATTTCTTGTATATTTTTAAAACAAGATCATCTTGCTTGGTCTCATTGGCAAATCTTATATCTACGCTCAGCCAATCAGCTCTGAGCCCATTATGTCAAATAGTGATTCACAGGGCTCTTTCTTACAAGATAACATGTTTTATAACACGATGCAGACAGTATAAAGTGGTCTAATGTAATCCTACTCCTTTCTATATGAAGAAAGTCAGGTACCACAGTCAATTTTAAATCACAAATGTCTTTAAACCCCGCTCTTCTGTCTTAGATCAATTTCCAATGAAAAACACCGAGCCTAATATCAAAGGTGTACATTTTTGCTGAGTGACGACCTGGCGTGACCCCTGTACAATAAAGAGGCCTACAGTAGTAATGAAAGCAGATCCACGCGCGTCTGTGATGAGTCAGGCTCTTTTGCACAAAGCCACGAGCGGCCGATGGTCTATATAAAGTCTATATAAAAGAGCCACAGTGTTAGCGTAGCATCAACAACCAAAGCTATACCCACAGGCAACATGGGCAGGGTAATGGCACTGCTCCTCTATCCAACTGTTGCTGATATGGACACTAGACATTGATATTGTAGCAGCAGTAGTAGTTGGAGTAGAAGCAGCAGTAGTATATGTAGCAGCAGTTATAGAAGTTGTAGCAGCAGCAGCAGCAGCAGAAGGCCTAGTAGAAGCGCTAGTAGTGACAGAAGTAGTGGCAGCAGTACTAGTAGGAGCACAAGAAGTAGTAGCAGCAGTAGTACAGGTTGTAGATGTAATATTAAAGCGAAGCAGGTTACTGCAAATGAACTGTGTTATTTGTTTACAATTTAACATAAGTTATGATTAGAAGGAAGTCACTGAGAAGTATTTATCTATAGTACTCGCAGTTGAATCTGTATATGTAGTATAAGTAGCAGCAGTGGCACTACTTATTACCTCCACATATAAAAATGTATATATTGAAAGTTTGTTGATGATGAGTGTGTTGTGCTGCCAATATCTCTTCTAATTAAACCCTAGTATTTCTCATCATTTTTTGCTCTTTCCAGATCACTTTCTACGAGGAGAGGAACTTCCAGGGCCGGGCTTATGAGTGCAGCAGCGACTGTTCCGACATCAACACACACCTGAACCGTTGCAGCTCCTGTCGCGTGGACAATGGCTGCTTCGTGGTCTACGATCGGACCAACTTCATGGGTAACCAGGTGTTTCTGAGGAGGGGCGAGTACTCCGACGTCCAGAGGATGGGGAGCCAGAGTGGGATGGGAGGAGGCAGCCAAATGGACACCATCCGCTCCTGTCGACTCATTCCTATGGTAAAATATATATATATAGTAAGATTGTTCCATGGTCTTTTCGCCAACACTATACCATAGACCATAGACCTCAAGCCTTACTATTATATTACAATAGTCTATCAATTACAGTACATTTTACTAGTCTTCATTTTTAATTGATATTACTGGCCAATAGAAAGTTACAGCTTATAAAATCTCATCATGAAACTTATGATTAAAATCACTAACAAAACAAAAACATAGAATTTCAACATAAGTGTTCATTCAAAACTGTTCTACTGTTGTTCCAATGATTTTATTATTTTGAAACTAAATGATTTGGGAGATTTTACAAACTTTAACTTTAACTTTAAATCCAAACCAGTCTTAGGATGGAGGCATATTACGCATTAATTTGCAAAAGATTTTTAGAACAGAAGATACGACGCTGAAAGATTTCTCAGATCTACGGTTTGTACGCTTGAAAATGTGGATACTTGTTAGACAAAGAATTTAAATTTAAATTATGTGAATGAATCAAAAAAGGCTGGTAGAATAGAAGAAATACATCTGTAAGACCGGAAAACTGGGAGTAGAGTTGAAACTTGGTGTTTAGCACTGATAAAGGACTGTCAGGGAGTTCATACCCCCTGAAAATATACATACAAAATAAAAAAATAAAACACAAGAAAAAAATGAACAACAAAAATACAAAATAAAATAAATAAAAAAATATTCTGTAATAATAATAAGTAATACAAAAAGTGCTGATAGAAAATTTGCTTAGGAGCAAGGCCACCATACCCCAAAGCTAATGTTGAAATGATGAAGGCATGAAAACAGAATAGAATTAATTCAGGTATGAAGCTCACCCTGTCTATGGCCCTGTCCTCCACAGCACAGGGGCCCGTTCCGGATGCGCGTTTACGAGCGTGAGAACTTTGGGGGGCAGATGCACGAGTTGATGGAGGACAGCGAGTCTCTCCAGGAGCGTTTCTACATGTCCGACTGCCAGTCCTGCAACGTGATGGAGGGCCACTGGCTGCTGTTCGAGCAGAGCAACTTCAGGGGACGCCAGATGTACGTGCGCCCCGGGGAGTACCGCAACCTCCGCGACATGGGAGCTGGCAACGTAATGAGGATCAACTCTGTCAAGCGCATCATGGACAACTGCTGAGCCGAGCAAAAACAGAGATATAAATGACATCATGTGAAGGAAATATTGAGGGGAATAAATTATATTGCAATACATACCGTTTCTGGTGATTTCTTTCATGAAATAGTTGCAGGTGAAGCAAATGAATGGTGGGACGGCAAAAGAGTGGGCTGTTATGTAATGATAAGTTCTGACACTTTTGAAGTTTTATTATTTATGGATACATAGATTTCTTTGATATGGCTCAATGTGCTGCATAGAGAAACTGACCAATAAGCAAAAAAAGCTACATATGAATCAAAACATTTCAATCTTTATCAGTATAAGATAATTCCTCACAAGAACATTAGTTTAATTAGTATTACAGTACTATGATGTTTATAGTAACAGTCAAAAGAAATGTATACTGGATGACATTCTGAGGGAAAAAATGGATGGAGAAAAGTAATTATCCATTGGTAAATACATCAATTATTAAAGCATGAGGCTGAAACAAAAATCATTTGGACATTTATCGTATATATATTCATATATCTACAACACTGAAATACAGGAACAAGAACTACTATCCAAACTGAAGCCCGCAATAAAGGAAGAAGGTTTAATGTATAAACTGAATTAATAGCAAACCCTGTCTACCTGGGTCCCACTCTACTGTAGAACTGTAGAGAAAACATTATTTTACACGGTTTAACTGTGTCTCAAGTGAACCATACATTATCAACAATGTTGACTTTGTTGATTCAGGTGCAATGAGGTACAACAAGCAATTAATATGCTATCAAATAATAAATATGCAAGAATGGATCATATTTCTGCTGAGCATCTTAAATAGGCCAGTATGAAGTTGGTTCCTGTTCTGGCCTTATGCCTCTCTGCCTTTGAAGGACATGGTTTTTATCCCAGACTGCATGATGTCTGTGTTGTTGGTTCCTGTGATAAATGACAAAACGGAGAAAGTGGGCAGCTCTGATAATTACAGACTTATCGCCCTGACAAGTATACTGTCAAAAACATTGTCAAAACAAATCATTCTGAGCAGACTCAGTGTTCACATTAGCTCCACAGACAATGAATTTGGCTTCAAAGCCAATCATGGTACAGACATGTGTTTCAATCTAGAAAGACTCAACAAAGACTGCATGATTGTGCTTTCACACCGTCGACGCTGGAACGTTGACGCCTCACGCACCGGACGCATATTCTCTAATTTTCAGATGCAGGGGTCTTCAGACGAGATGTCCTGGGCTGTGGTGGCGCCCGCCGGAAGTGGCGGAAGTAGCGGGTGGACTTTGATGCTAACGGAGTTAAGCTTGCGGCTTATTGTGTAAAGTTCTTCTCCAATAATGCAGCTCTGCAGCGTCTGTGTTCAGAGACCTTCCAGAGACTTTATAGAACAGCAGTATGTTTTCACGGAGGTGAGCCATATGTTTATTTTATTATTAAACGGTAGCATTAAGTCACAAGCACTATGTCCCCCATTGTCAACCCTGGTTTCAGTCCTGGTGTGGCTCCTGTTTTGGCTGTTTACAGTATGTTAAGTCTGTTCGCTCAGACCACTAATGTCCCCATGACCACTTTGCGGCTCTCTGATTGGTCGCTGCACGAGCGTCCCGAGGAAACATTCAGCAATATTTATCTCCTGCGCCTCTGCCGCACCTTTGCGAGACGCACATGCAGTTCGACGCTCAAACGCGCGTCACCATTGACTTTGCATTGAAAGTCGACGCAACGCATGATCCGGTGTGAAAGCACCAATAGAATGTTTGTTGTCAAGATGCATGAATAAACACCAGCAGACTTACACTCACCGGCCACTTTATTAGGCACATCTATCCAACTCCACTTTAATGCAAATTCGTCATCAGCCGATGGCAGCAACTCCATGCATTTAGGCATGTAAACATGGTCAAGACAATCTGCTGCAGTTCAAACCACGCATCAGAATGGGAAAGAAAGGTGATTTAAGTGACTTAGAAGTATTTCAGAAACTTCTGATCTACTGAGATTTTCACACACAATCATCTCAACAAGGTTTACAGAAAATGGTCCGAAAATAGAAAACATCTAGTGAGCGGCAATTCGGTGGGCAAAAATGCCTTGTTGATGCCTGAGGTCAGAGGTGAATGGCCAGACTGGTTCGAGCTGAAAGAAAGGCAACAGTGACTCAAATAGCCCCTTGTTACAACCAAGGTATACAAGAGAGCCTCTCTAGACACAGAACATGTCAACCCTTGGGGCAGATGGGCTACAGCAGCAGAAGACCACACCAGGTGCCACTCCTGTCAGCTAAAAACAGGAAACTGAGGCTACAATTTGCACAGGTTCACCGAAATTGGACATGGTCTCCAGCAGCTGTTTATTATGTGTTCTGCGTACTATGAACTAAACAATATGCATAATATAATTAAAGGAAAAGTGTCATTATGACCTGTCAAACCAAAGAGGATCGAGCCCTGGTGTTTCCTGACTTTAAGCTCGCTGGAAATATCCTAAAAACTGAAAACACAGTGAAATATCTTGTTCATAACCTGACAGATTGTCTATCAGACGATCAGGATATGTATCGAGAGTGGCGTATGCTGTACGCCCATTCTAATGTTCTGTTGCATAAATTTGGATCCTAATAGAGTTAAAGTGGCTTTACACCGCTCATCTGTGGGTGAACTATAAAAAATCCGGCCTACAGATTTCAAGTGAACACAATGCAAATATGATTATATTGTTGAAAATACCTCTGCAATGTGGAAACAATGGTATGGTTGCCTCCTCTTTTATTGTTTTATGTTGTATGTTGCTTGTGTGTTGTGTATTGTCTGTGTTTTGTTCTGTACTAAAAGCAAGCCCCAGCGATCCAAGATGGCACCGTAATCAATTGAAGGTTTGTGTTCAGTGGTGCATGTGCCAGCATGGGCGCTGAATGATTAGCGGAACTCGTCTATATTTGGGCATTGTCTGGTCCTCCCGGTTCTGCACATTGGACGAGCTCTCATGATGCATTGCGCCATATACACATGTGTGGCTATCATGCACGTGCACAGAGGGGCTCGGCCGCGCTCTGACCAATCAGCGCTGCTGATCAGAGCGTGAGCCAAACGAGCAGAGTTTGTGGCACTAAAGTGAGGATTTAAAGAAGAAAAAAAGTTCAGGATGACAAGGGACACTAAAATCCCCACAAAATCCGATCTGAATGAAAGCTGTAGATGCTCTGTCAGCTGAGGTAGAGCTGTTTTAGTTTACATTGAGTTCTATGGGGAAAATTTCTGGGTAGCCCACATGAATTTAGTCTGGTTTAGTCTGCAGTACCGCGAGAATCCCGCAAGCACATGGGTCCTTCAGCTCCAAGCTAGTAATACCCTATCCAGTTATTCTAATAGATCCATGACTACAAGTCTGTCATAAAGCTATCCATTTATCCATCCATCCATATAGCAGCGCTTCAGAAAATCAGTGTCGCCATCCACTGGTGGCAGCAGGAACGACAATCTCAATGCAATCCAGTTACCTCACTTTCAGACCAAAAACATTGAAACTATCGAGTGATCACTAGTTTTTACATGCTGTATTTTTTAACTGTTACATCTTTAGATCACCCTCACTCAACCAATCAGCTCTCAGCTTCAGAGTATGCATAAAATAGATTTCTTTTAGCTCCAAAACATCATCTTAAGAAGAAGTATAATTATACTAATATAATATATTTTTTGTATGTGAATTGTTTATTTTTGAGTATAAATATGGATTAACATGTGCAATGGAGCGATGTCATTGAAGCGGCTGAAACGGCCTCTATGGTAAATGTTGGGAAGTACAAACATCAACTGTGGCATAGTTGTAAATAAAGGCATGCAGAGTGTGATTTATTGAAATAATTTCTCAGAACTGATTTGGAAGGAATTCTTTTGTAACAAATTTCAATCACACCAAAGTCAGTAAGCAATTCCAGGTATGATTTTGGGAACTATGTTGAAAAGTAATGGGGTGACAAGCTCAGAAGAGTAATTATAAGTGTCAAATAAAAGTGAATGACTGTTCAAAATAAAAGTTGAACCAATTTCAGACAGAATCTACATACAAAGAAGCTAGGGTACATAACTTTCCAACCACATAAAAGTATATAATTACAATCCATGTAACCTGTCCCTCTATCACTAGCTTTAACTTCCATTCTAATCTTAAGATCAGCTTTTTCAGACAGACAAGGGAAAAAGAGAGGACCACCATCACACAGCCAATAAGCTGTAAGCTCATAGCATCAAAAAGTGACTCACTTTCTTGCAAGTATGCACATGTGTTTTTCAGCTGGTGCTTGATAGTTGATCGAATAATGTAATATAAATAGTAGTCCTGCGTCAAAGGGAAAAGAGCTGATTCGCAGTTGCACATGTACAGTAGAGTTTTGAAAAGAGGTAGAAAAAGCTGACGAGCCCAGTGATTGTTGAGCGCCACAAAGGCCGAGGTGAGAGGTGGGTTATAAATGCACGATTGGGTCTGGATCTGAACAGAGGAACAGGGAACCGATGGGAACAGCCACAACCATGGGGAAGGTAAGCGCACCGCCGTCACATTTTAGATTTATTTTTGAATTCCATCCAACCAAATCTGAAATAAAAGTATGATTGTTTGACAGCGTTAGAATAAAATGATTTACCCAAGTAGATCTACTCAAAGAAATCCTTGTCGGAGTACTATCTTTGTTTGAATAACTGCCACTGCTGCATGAAATATACAGTATACAACAAAGAATTCTCCCTTTTTTCATGAGCCAAATTTCAATCATTAAACACAAATAAAAGCTTCAAATTCAACTTAATATTCTCAAAAACCAACTGTTTAGGGGACCAGAGTCTGAGTGCCAGATAAAAAAAAAAGGCAACTAAAGTTTCAGTAAAGAGCTCACCAGCATATTTGTATAAAAATTACATCAATGGTGACAATTGTAGTCCAGATTGCGGAGCTAAAATCAGTCCTGAGCCTGGACTATAGTATTAACTCATTGTAAGCTGTGACAATATGAGAATTTAAAAAGTAAAACCAACAGCGCCAAAACAAAATGAAAATAAGCCAAAAATTATGATATTTATTTCTATGTGGCAGATGGTATAAGCCAAATCAGATTTTTTGGGAGGCCTCAAGTTGATCAGGTCTAGAATAAAGAAAACAATAATATGAAAGCTGAAGTACCTAAATATTTTTTACCTTAAGTCTTAACAGAAATGGTCTTGTCAAAGTAAAATTACGTAAACATATCAGACCATATCATGCTGCCTTAATTTTGTTGGAAAACATGTTATCTTTTGCATGTTAGTAAGAATAGTTCAATAATTTGAAAGTTAGGTACCCCAGCTTTTATCCATACCATGACATATTTCCTTAATTCCAGATCACGTTTTACGAGGACAGGAACTTCCAGGGCCGTAACTATGAGTGCAGCAGTGAGTGTTCGGACTTGCACTCTCACTTCAGCCGCTGTAACTCCATCAGGGTGGACTCTGGAGCCTGGATGGTCTACGAGCGCCCCAACTACAACGGGTACCAGTACTACCTCCGCCGCGGGGAGTACCCCGACTACCAGCGCTGGATGGGCTTCAACGACTGTGTGCGCTCCTGCCGCATGATCCCCAGCAACAATCAGGTATCAACGCTTCAGAGATCAGACAGGGTCTTGTTCAATATATGTATGTAGGTGGAACTATATTCATTGTACTTTCCGGACTATAAGGCGCACCTGTATAAAAGCAGAAAAGAAAATGCATGTTGTCCATTTATAAGCTGCTCTGGAATATAAGTCGCAGGTTTTCATGTTGTAATGTAGCAGATTGACTGCTGTAACTGGTCACAACATAATTACACTCGAGGTATTTATCAGCTTTACTGTTAATCGTCATCTATTTTGATTGTCCTATAGCTACTGAAAGTCAAAATGATAAGTTCATAAACTCTGCTCTGACAACTCTACCACAGTAAAAATACATTAAATATATTAGCAGGGTTCAGAGAACTAGAAAGAAGTAGTCCGCAAATTAAAATATTTCAATATGCTTCTGGTTTTTGAATTGTAAGTATTTCATATATTTGAGACATTATAAACTAAAAGCCTGTTGTATTGGATGTGTCTCGCAGCAGCAGGGCTCCCATCGGATGCAGATTTACGAGCGCCCTGAGTTCGGGGGTCAGATGATGGAGCTGACCGACGACTGCCCCTCTCTGTACGACCGCTTCCACTTTAACGACATCCACTCATGCAACGTGACAGAGGGCAGCTGGATCCTGTATGAGCACCCGCACTACAGGGGGCGCCAGTACTTTATGGGCCCAGGACAGTACCGTCGCTTCAACGAGTGGGGAGGAGTCAGCCCCCGCGTCGGCTCCATCCGCAGGGTCATGTAGAGCACTTTTGTCAATAAAGATGTTTTGAAGTATTTACAGTGTGTTTTATGTGTGACCCATGGCCTTCAGGTACATTGCATAGTGGCAGAAGTGTAAGAAAAGTCATTTATAAAAACACTTTTAAATAGGTTCTAAGACGAAGACTCAAGAAGTGCAATAGTTCAGTCTTGTTTACACCAGCCCTACTTCGCCCTACTCTACTCCACTCTACTCGGCTCTACTCTACCTGGTTACGTATCCTAGCAATCTATCCACAACAAACAGGGTGTGATTTTTTTTACAGTATTGATACTTTCTGAAATGAGTATCTAGTTTTGATATTAGTTTTAACATTGCTTAATTACTGATTTGTAACACTTTTAACCACCACTTTGTTTATGATGTGTTTTAGTGAGGTGATTAGAAGGATCATATGTCACAATATGATCCAGAGGAAATATTTGGGCGAGTTCCTAGACTGTACATTCCCTGAAGCATCAGCTGCAGTGACTTATATTTGCCTTTAGGTGGCGCCAAACACACAGCATATGCTTCGTATGACACCTTCCTATCACCTTTACACAAGGGTTCAATTTCTTTTTGTGTTTAGTTTGAGTGCAGGCGAGTAAACGTGTTGAAGCAAAACAAGCATTTATTTTGAACAATTTTCAAATTTTGAAACATTACTAATTTAACATTACTAAGTTAAATTAGTATTGTGTAAACATTACATAACTTTCTGTTGTCTTTTTACTAATCCACACGTCTAAGCTTGTACATGACTTTCTTAATTCAAACCCAGCAAGCTTCAAAGAAAAATTATGTGAAGACCTGTGCGCTGCCTAAAGCTCGGATCTTCCCTTTATCTGGTGACAGCTTCTATCAAATCTAATTGTTAAAATAAAGCTGTAGAAGTGATGCTCATGTGTTTATTGCTGAAATCATGTTGTATCATTATAACAGTAAAAGTGCACCACAGCCAGTGCGTCTCTAGTGTCATTGAATTACTTGAAATTCAGATATAACGTTTTGTATTTGATTAGTTAATGAGCTTCAAAATCCAGCTCAAGTCATGTGAAGGGGGACTAGAGACGAACTGTGTCTGTGGAGGTCAGGGCGTGTGGAGCCGGTATCTTCCCTTTAGGAGGCTTCTGCTCTTGGGCTTCTCTAGGGCATGGTCTGGGCCTCTGCTTCGCCTTGGTCGTAGTAAGGGATCGCAGGAGGAGCAGCCAATGGGAACGACGGGTACATGTGGCCCTAGAATACAACACAGGAACGGCAGTCTTTATATGGCAATCAATTCTCTAATAGTTATGAAAAGTGAGAACAGACTTTGGATATATGATAAAAAAAACAATGTGGGTTTGTTGTAATGTTACCTTCACCTACTTGCACAGGTTTTGAGCTACATTTATATATTTGTTTGACAGGGACAATCCCATCATACATAGCTATAGCAAAAGATGAAACATATGTGACACATACAGAGTTATAGCAAAAGTATCAACCCGTGTCTCTAGTTGAACGTTTCCCTACATATGAAACATACATAATTATACAAAAGTCATAAAAACAAGTTTAATCACATATTTACAACAGTGCTCCAACATTTAGACATTCTGTCTGTCTGTTGGACTGTGTCTCTGGCCTTTCTCGTCCTTTGGGCTTTAGTAAAAGACCACTTGGGGTAGCCACATCTGGAAAGTGCTCTGTGAACATGTTTGGTTTCTCTGTTCTTTCCCTCCGAGCTTGTGGGGACCTGGTGGGCTCGGTGTTGAAGCGTTCTAATGACCCCGAGTTTGTGTTGCAGCGGATGATTTGAGTCAAAGGCCAGGTACTGGTCAGTGTGAGTGGACTTTCTGAAGACCTCAGTCTCTAATTGTCCGTTCTCCAGTATGATGACCTTACAATCTAGAAAGGCGAGTTCACTCTCCTTAGCATCCTCGCGAGTGAAATTTATAAAAGGGTCCACCGAATTAATGTGTTCTGAAAATGGTTCCACTTCCTGTTTCTTTAACTTAACCCATGTATCGTCTACATATCGAAACCAATGGCTTGGCGCTGTCCCTTGGTAAGAGACAAGGGCTTGTTCCTCCAGTTTCTCCATATACAGATTGGCCACTATAGGAGAGACTGGGGAGCCCATCGCACAGCCATGAATCTGTCTAAAGAAGGTGCCTCTAAATTGGAAATACGTGGTGTTAAGACACATTTCAAGTATTTCACAGATGTGGTCAGCTGTTAGTTTCGTTCTCTCCCCTAGTGTGGCGTCTTTCTGTAGGCTTTCTCTTACAGCCTGCACCGCCTCTGTAATAGGGACCGACGTAAAAAGCGATGTCACATCAAACGAGACCATTGTCTCATCTGTGTCAAACTGGAGGTGTTTGATTTTATTTACAAATTCTTTTGTGTTTTCTATGTGATGGTGGGTGTTACCCACCAAAGGAGCCAGAATGGTTTTGAGGTGTTTAGCCAGGTTGTAGGTGATAGAGTCTATGCTACATACAATAGGCCGAAGTGGAAAGTTTTGTTTGTGTATTTTTGGGAGTCCATAAATACTGGGAATGGTGTCTCCTGGGTAAAGTTTGTAATATAGTGGTTTTTCAATAATGCCCTCTTTCACTAAGCTCTGAAGGAAGTCTATAATCTTTTTCCTAAACCCACTGGTAGGGTCCCTCTTCAATGGCTGGTACGTGTTGGTGTCTAAGAGTAACTGATTAACTTTGGCCTCATAGTCTGAGCTGTTGAGGATAACTGTGCATCTGCCTTTGTCAGCTGGTAAAATAGTTATACTCTCATCCTTTTGTAATGCCATTAATGCTTTTTGCTCATCTAATGAGACATTGGATTGTGGGGGCTTCGCACTTTTGAGTGTTGCAGAGACTCTCAGTCTGAGGGCCCCCGCCTCACTCTCAGTTAGTTTGTTGTTTCTAATGGCTGCTTCTGCTGCTGTGATGTATTCAATTGTAGGAATATCTTTTGGGGTTATTGCAAAATTTAGGCCTTTAGTAAGAACATCTTTTTCCGCTTGTGATAAATGCCGATCGGACAGATTTTTGACCCAATTCTCCCTGTCCAAGCCTTGTCCAATTTCACTTTTAGAATGTTGAAAAGAATTATGGTTTTGGAGTTTTAGAAATTTGCCTATCTGACGTTCTTTGGCCTTGCAGCATTGATGGTAATGGGCTACTATGGAATGTTGTGTTTCATTCTGAAGCCTATCATCTGTGGAAAACAACCATATAAAAAAATGCATATCTTCTTGATATTTGGCTCAGCTGTGGTTTAATCCGAAAATAGTTTGAACCCAAAATAAGTTTGACATCCATGCTGTGGATGGACAATGCTAACCCCCTACCTCAGTCAAGTAATCATGGAATACAATGTGTACGTTATTTTCTCTCTGTACCTTTCCGTACTCTTGGGGCATAAAGCGAGGGGGTCTCTCTGCTCTGAGCGGATACATGGAGTAACTCTGGTGCAGCATGGCATCGTAGTGCTGATGGAATCAATAACGATTCGTAACATGATGGGTACAGGAACCAAACCACTATAACCCCCAGTGGTTTTAAAGCTGAGGTACCAAAGTTTCAAATCACAATAAAAGCCAACCGATTCTTGGATCGAAAACAGTTTCGAGAACACCGCCCTCACTCAGCCTATCTGCTCTCAGCGAAAAAGAGTCAAAGAGTGACTCACAAGGCTCTTTCTCACACAAAAGATAACATGTTCTGTATTAAGATGAAGACAGCATGTTGTGGTCTGAATTGTTCACAATATTTGACCTAAACAAGACTCTTTCTGCTGGGACAAACAGAATGTATTACTTCTGAGAGATAAAAGTTAGGTACCCCAGCTTTAAGAGCATTCAATACACCAATATTCACTAAAACTCATCAAACAGAGGGGTTGTCGGCACACCTACTTAATAATAACGCATTTATTGGGACCTTGGCTTCACAAACCTCACTGGAGTCGTAGGCTGAGAATCCCTCTGGGACGTGGTAGAGGTACTCAGGCTGCGGGTACATCACTGGACCAGAGCCAACAGGAGACTGGGAAAGAATTTCACATTTAAATCTCTTTAAATTAAGTTATAGCATTGACAATGAACAAAACAATCAACCATTGCATCAATGAATGAAATTTATAATGACAGAAAATGGTTTAGTAATTGGTAGTTCTACTTTTCAGATCATGACACAATCATCCTATTACTTGTTATACTGTTCTTATTCTTGTATTAGTTTAGTTCAGTTTTCAATCTTCTCTCAAATGTCAATGCTCTTAATCTTGTAATAAATTATTTACTTACTTCAATGTTAATCCACTGGTATTGGTTTTGAAAGCACCGGGGCTGCATAGGAGAATGAATGAATGTTTAAATAAATGTATTGAGTAGCAGTAGCAGCAGTAGCAGTAGCAGTAGTAGTAGCTGTAGCAGTAGCAGTAGCAGTAGCTGTAGCTGTAGCTGTAGCAGTAGCAGTAGCTGTAGCAGTAGCAGTATGGTAACCTGGTAGTGCTGGGGGTAGGCTGATGGCTGTTGATATACATGTTGGCATGGCTGAGGCAGCATCGCTGGGGCAGGCTGCTGTGGTGTACCAATACACAAATACACAAACACACTTCAATAAAGGAGGCGCATGCCAGACCTATTGTACATATTTTTAGTGGTAGGGGAAACCGGAGTACCCGGAGGAAACCTACGCAGACACGGGGAGAACATGCAAACTCCACTCAGAAAGGCCCTGGTCCGGCCGGGATTCGAACCCAGGACCTTCTTGCTGAGAGGCGAGAGTGCTATCCACTCAGCCACCGTGCCGCCCACCGTGTATACTACAAACTGTCCATTTGAAATAATCAGTGCAATTTCACCCTTCAAAATCTATTGTCTATAGCAGGGGTCGGCAACCTAGGGCACGCCGCGGAATAAACACTGGCACGCCGGCACCTCCGCATTATTCTCACTGTATCTGTCCTGTTTTAAAAATAAGAGCATCTCCCTCTTTGTCTGAGCGCTTTTTGGTGGCCGGCACTAGGACCCAGCGGACACCACCGCGGGGATAAGCTGCGTGCTTCCCTCACACACACACCGTGTGTAGCTGTGGGTGGAGCCAGGAGCCAGCAGCTGCAGGTGTATGCGCGATTTCAAACTTCTTTTTTGCACATTCAAAGTTGTAACTGGTGTGCCATTCACTGCAGACGCCTCCTACAATCATTGTGACACGCTGTTATCACTGTGGTGTGTGAAATCAAAGAAAGTGAGTTTAAGCATTTTTGTGCTGCACAGAGCTAGAATTTAGCCTCTGAATGTTGAACTCGAATATTGTTGTTCTCATGTTGATTCCAGGGACGTGCGGTGAGGTTTGTGATTGGGGAACTGACTTTAAAAGTCAGATTTACAATCATTATTCAAATAAAATAGCATTTAATCACCAATGCAATGACATCCACAAACTTTATATACGGTAAAGATACTAGAGAACCACACTTCTTTTAATAATCTCACAACAAATCTAGCTGCTGACTCTGCTCCGCATTCAAACAACTCATCTTTAAGAAGCGCAGGTGCGAGAGACGCGAGGAGAGAGAGACGCGAGGAGGGGGGAGAGGAGCAGAGAGAGACAGAGAGGAGCAGAGAGACGGAGACGCGAGGAGCAGAGAGAGACGGAGACGCGAGGAGAGAGAGACGCGAGGAGAGAGGAGCAGAGAGAGACAGAGAGGAGCAGAGAGACGGAGACGCGAGGAGACGGAGACGCGAGGAGAGAGGAGCAGAGAGAGACAGAGAGGAGCAGAGAGACGGAGACGCGAGGAGTAGAGAGAGACAGAGAGGAGCAGAGAGAGACAGAGAGGAGCAGAGAGACGGAGACGCGAGGAGCAGAGAGAGACGGAGACGCGAGGAGAGAGAGACGCGAGGAGAGAGAGACGCGAGGAACATAAACAATAATTTAAACAAGTTGCAGAACTCCTCCCCCGCAGCCGGACTAACCTCGTAAGTCCAGTGGTGGTCTCCCAGTCTATATTAATTCTTTCTTTGTTTGAAAATCCAATTGAGAAAAAAAATCTTCATTCAAATCATCCATTTTCCAGCAAAAGAAATAGCATTTTGGGCTGATTGTTTGTTAGCAACTCTGGTATGAACTTTATGCTCACTATCACCCCTAGCGGTGAGGCACAGATACCGCCTGCCTCACGCCAAGCTTTTTCCTTGTGTGTTCATCTACGATCAAAAGACTTAAACTAAATATAAATTGTACACACATACGTGCAATACACTACTAAACACTAAGAGGAGTTTAAAAAATCGTTTTTAAAGCAGGATATTTGAAACAAACGGTGATATATCAACTGCACGAGCTGAGTGCACTCAGACACACACACACACTGTGAGGGAGCGGTCTGAGGTGAGGCACGCAGGAGCGCTGCCTCACCTCGTCTCTTTGAATAGGAATAACGGGATTTCGGCGATTTTGACTTCAGAAATGATCAAAACTGATGGGAACCGTGCCGAATATACATTAAAAGCATAGGACAGTGGATATAAATTATATATTTAAACTAAAATAATTATTAGTTTCCAATAATGGCAGGTGAGGCTCTGCCTCCCCTGCCTCCCCTGACTGCACGTCCCTGGTTGATTCCCTGTGTAGCCGACTATGCCTTTTTATATGCTCATGTATGCTTACCAGAGCATGAAATTTGCTTGTGTGCTCTTGAACCAAAAGTATTAATACATTTATTTTTGATATGTGCACTGAACTGAATGAATTGTATTGTGATTTATGGTGCAGAGGATTAATTGTGAGAATGAGCACTCTGATTATTGAGTATATATTTATTGAACATGTACATGTATTTTTGTAGTAGTGATGTATTGCTAAATGAAACTGTTGGATATTTATATTGGTCCTGTCATGCAGGCCAGGTTCCTTGGATCCGTCCATCCATATGGACTTCTTCTGATGGCGAGCTGCCCCAGGCCGAAAACCTAGAGATCGTCAACCCTACAGTGCGGTAGGAGGCGAGCAGTCTCCCTCATACAACACCACAAACTGAGACAATAACCTGAACTGGATTACTGCAAAGTACACGCTCCACCTTTTCCAACCAACCTGCCAAACCCAACTCTCAACCGGACTCTCTCACTCAAAACCCGTTCAATTATTTTTTGTAAATATTGTAAATATTGTGAATGTGGGGTGTGTGTGTGTGTATAATCTATCCCCTGCCTTTGTAAATATCTATTAGAGGTGCAACGGTTCATCACTGATCCGTGATCTGTTCAGATCAACGTCTTCGGTTCGGTACAGACGTGATCCGCGGTTTGATTTATGAAAAAAAAGTTGTGCACTCCCACTATGTTGTTTAGTTCACACACAGCGTAATCAAGGCGAGCGGAGGAACAGAGAAGCCTGTGTCATTTAAATCCCCGGTATGAGAGCATTTTGGCTTCACTGTAACTGTACTGATGATTAAATAGTCGACAAAACAGCTCTCAACTGAGCGGTTGAGATAACCATGAAATGTTACGATAACCGCTCACTTCATCACTGCAGACTGCGAGATGAAAAGTCAGGATCTCTCTCAACAACAACAACTCGAGGAGGAAAAGAGAGAGATATACATGTTGGCATGGCTGAGGCAGCATCGCTGGGGCAGGCTGCTGTGGTGTACAATACACAAATACACAAACACACTTCAATAATCTGCTGTAATGTGTGAGAGCATTTAACCACACAAACATTTCCCAAGAATGCAAATGACTGAAGTTGCAATTGGTAATAATATGGTGTACATGTTAAAATTGGGACACGAGTTTACATGCTAAGAATAAAAAACAAATGTTATTGTCTAGTCTAGGGCCAGACCCTCACGCAGGAAAATGTGAAAAAACGTATATGTGCGTATGCATTTATAGGGTGTTTAGACCGGCATATAACAGCAGTATCTGTTCACGGAGCAAGTTAGTTTTATTATTAAAAAGTACTTCTGCATCAGCGAACATGTTAGCAGCACTTGTTTACAGTCATGTGAGAATGAGAACTCAGGCTGGAGGCATATGTTCACAAGTACAGTGACCTCCATTGTCAGTCCTGGTTTAGCTCTTGTTTTGGCTGTTTACAAGTATCTTCAGTCTTCTCGCTGGCCGGCGGAGAAAGTTCAAAAATGTTTATATCCTGCTTTTGCTGCATGCATCCAGTCCGCGCATACCCACCGCCTCTGCCGCGCCACAACGCCGCGTCTGCCACATCCAGTTTCAATGCAAAGTCTTGCATTGGATAAATCTTTTTCTGGGTCCACCCCCAATGGCCCAGAGTGGGATTGCAAGTCTCCCAGCGCACGTGCACATAGACATTTTTGAAGTGGGATCAGTCCCAAGCCCCGGCGTTCCAAGATGGCACTGTTTTCAAATGAATGGTTCGTGCGAAACTCCCCATATCACTTGCTATATCTGGGCATTGCCTGGTCCTCCCGGTTCTGCGCAGTAGATGATCTCCCATGATCCGTTGCACCAAATAAACGTGAGTGGCTCTCATGCACGTGCCCAGAGGGGCTTGGCCATGCTCTGACCAATCAGAGCAGCTGATCAGTGCAGCGGTAGAGCGGGAAGGAAAGAAGCAGTTTGTGGCCCTAAAGTGTGGATTTAAAGAAAACTGCAGGATTTAAGAAGAAAAAAACTCAGGTTGACAAGGGACACTAAAATCTCCATAAAATCTGACCTTTATGGAAGCTGAAGGTTTTCTGTCAGCTGAGGTCGAGCTGTTTTAGTCTAAATTGAGTTCTATGGGGTAGCCCGCGTGAATTTAGTCTGGTTTAGTCTGCAGTACCGTGAGAATCCCCTGAGCACATGGGTTTTTCAGCTCCAAGCTAGTAATACCCTATCCAGTAATTATAATAGATCCATGACCCGTCCCCACTGGTTCTACCACTAGTTTACACATGCATTTATTTTTGCTCTCTGTCACATCTTTAGATCACCTTTTTCAAATAGAAAAGTGCAAAAGAGGGCCACCCTCACTCAGCTCCCAGCCCAAAGTGTTTGGCTCCTACTTACCAGTGTGCAAAATATGATCGACAATTACATGAACACGGAGGTAAATAAACAAGTTAGGTAAAAGTCTGGTTTAACAACAATACACACATTATAATGATGTACTGTTTTGAAAGGAATGGGTAAAGATAAAGAGGGGATAAACTCACACTGGTCCAGAGGTGCGGGCTGGGGATGCCTCGGGGGCTGTGGAAGTAGGCCACTCCGTTGTGGATGGTGTAGGGGATGCCGGAGGAGGTGGTGAGATACATGGCTCCACAGGGCACCGGCACCATGCTGGAACTGGGTCGGTGGAGATCTACGGACAGAACATACAAGAGCATAACTTCAAGATCCAACAGAAAGTTAACAATAAGCATATGTAAAACATAATGAGACTATTTAAGTCATGAGTAGAATTGACTTGTGCCTCATGTTTTTAAATATTTGCTTTTGTTTCCGTTTGTTTAGCTATTAGCAAATGTCAAGTCTTCTGTTGAATGTTTGAATTCATAGACTGCAAATATTGACGGTAGACACCTATCTCTGCCGTTGAAACTAATGTGCCACCAATTTTGCCAAGAGCCGACTTTTTTACCATCCTGTAAAGCCGTTTTCGAGAGGTAAGAAGATGCTATACATTAGTATTGGCATCTTCTTATTTCGGGTCCACCCCCCACTGGCCCGCAGTGGTATTGCAAGCATGTCAGCGCACGTCATTTTGGAAATTTTTGAGCCGGGACCGCCCCCACCGTTTGAAATGTGTGTGTGTGAGCTAACTTACTTCCAGAGCCACGCAGTTTACGCACAGCTGGCCGAATGATTAGCCTGTTGTCTTTATAATAAATCCTATTCACCTGAAAAAGAGAGTCTATATATTTATTTCTTATATAAGTTTCATTTGTGGACATTAAACAAAATACTTTACATCAAGGAGCAGTCTTTGAGCATCGCCCGGGTTTTCAAAAGTCACAAATCCATACCTGTAGAGAAGAAGAATTACTTTTACTTTGTACAAGACAACACCATAGACACTTAAAAAGAGCATCTGGTACCGATTGTTGGGTCTGCTCTGGTTTTGGATGATGTTGACCTCGCTGACTGTCCCGTACTGAGAGAATATGTTCCACAGATCACTCTCACACACCTGCAAACATAAGGATTATTTCTTATTCATGGGTTTAATAGATAAAAACGGCTTCTACACTGGTGGGGAGAACTCACTCTTTGTTCCCTATTGTATTTGGCAAAAAGGACTGTTCAAAGAACAATTATCAGACTATAAAACTATTTGTTATTAACTAATTGAAGATGGGATTATTAGAGTAGTTTGTGAGAGTAGATAGTGGGGTTTCACTTATCAAGGTCCTTTGACAATTATAGTTCATAATTTGTTTTTAACTGAGTTTCTATCTGTTTTTATGTTTATTAACATTTGAGGCGACAGTGATTCAGTTGGTAGATCATTGACCTTTGAGCCTGAAGGTTGTTGGTTAGAGCCCAGCACAAGACTTTCTCCACCGACTTCCACTGATTATCTGCTGTTGTTGTGTCCTTGGCAAGACACTTAAGGTCTGGGACCACCAGATGCCACAGTGGGGCGGCTGTAAAGTGCCAAACTGCCGTTGTGTCCTTAGGCAAGACATTTCATCCACATTGCCTAGAATGAGTCTGGTGTGTAGGTGAATGGTTGGTGGTGATCGGCGGGGCTGATGGCACATACTAGTTGCCTTGAAACTATTACAATGGTAGTTTATCACCACCTTGCATGGAGTGAAAAAATAATGACATGTGAAGCGTCCTTGAGTGTCCAAAAAAGCTCTATATAAAACCGATGCATTATTATTAATATCATTACCTTAAATGATAGATAATCTTTTTGGGTGCGTGTATCCTAGGTGCTATAGTTTCTCTTGTGATATACAATGGCAATTCCCCAAGGTTATATAAATTATATATTTGTAATTATAATAAATGTCAAAACTCAACACAAAAAATGGCATGTATGATATTTGAAAAAAGACTCACTACAATGACCAAAAACAAAGTGTAAGTGTGGCACCTTGTGGTTGACGCCTCCAACAAAGATGCGGTTGGGGATGACGGTTCCGCGTCTGGTGCTGAGGTATTCCAGACTGTCTGAGCTGCAGCTGCGGTTCTCTGAGGGGGACACTTCAGGCGTGGGGCAGGTGCTGTGGACTGGAGAGCCATGGCGGGAGCTCTGAGAGGAACAGAATAATGGCTCTAACTGATTATTAGGGGTGAGATGAGATATGATTTTCATGACACAAGACAGGGTGCTTTGGAGTTGTGTTCTTAAGTAACAGGCTGATCCAGAAATGTGTTTCTGTGATGGGGAGAAGAGTGGATTCTGTGGGAGCTGTGCTAGAGAGAAGGATGCGGGCTCCAATGCAGGGCATCTTGAGTAACTCCAGATACCCTCTGCTTAACATTAAGGCCACTCAGAAGAGTAAATGTAGCAAAAGGCGTATATCACTGCGCTGCAGAACAGAACATTTTACAAGGTCTATTGTTCCTTGAAGGTTGGCACCCTCAGTGTCTTCTTTTAAATCAATTCTTAATAGCCACTTTTATCAATCAGCTTTTAACTACTAGTTTCAAACATCACATGTTGTATTTTTGTAAAATCACATATACACGACAGCATCAGTTGTTTCAAATGGTTCAATGAGAAACTAGTTGTAGCTCTTAAAGACCTTATGACGGGTTTTTTAAAAAAAAAATAGTGGATATCAAAATTGCATGACAATATCAATTTGAAAGAGATTCCCGCAAAAAAAATCCTATATTTTATAAAAAGAACGTGTTTTTCATGAATTTAAGTTGTCTATGCTCTAACCTGTGTGTGACGTCATAGCGGGTTACGCCCATGCATTGAAAACCATGGATCTATGCCACAGGACTGCCTTTTCTCTCTTCTCTCCACTGATGCCCAACACAATACTGCACTCTACAGGTGACAATTGCTCACTACACATAAATTGCCGTTTTGAGTGTGAAAAAGTGTCCGAGGTGGGATTTGAACCCCAGTATCTGGATTGGCAGTCCATCGACACAAACACTGGACTATCTCAGTGACAACGAAATGTGACATTCTAGTATTTATCAAGCACTCGCTGTACACGGCCTTGTCATCTTGAATATCCGCGAAAAAAGAACGAATACCAAATTGTAAACAACTTACAGCGTTGAAACGTACCCGTTCTGACGTCACCAAGGGCTGTGAAGTTTTTTCGTCTTTAAGGGCGTTGCTATGGGGTTATTTCGATTTGGGGGGATCAGACAAAAAAAACAACAACTGATTTTGAAACCTTTAGTAGTTCTCTTCTAATATAAAATGGTATTTAAACTGTATTTCTAAATAAATAAAACCCGTCATAAGGTCTTTAAAGGCCGTTTTCACTCAGGTATCCAATTAGACAGGTAACTACTTCAGCTGAATCAGCTGAAATGTACTTTTATTTTTATTTTTTGGCAATGAAGAAACAACTCTAACCAGGCCTAGAGCTATGAAAAGTGGATGTTGCATGTTAGCAGTTAGCTAGGTTAGTTAGTGGGTTTGGGAGGGAAAATTTGAAAAAAGACAAAGCCTTTCATGTCTTCCTTTGAAAGTTGTTGAAAAAACAATACCGAACACCTGTATGTGCTAGCATGAATTTTCTGTGATAGAGTGCAAGTTACTGACATTTATTTGTCCATTTACACTCATACTTGCGCAGTAATGCAGCTAGGTTACATAAGTAACTCTAATCCCTATGTTTGCGTTACTACCGTACTTTATAATACAGTACTTTATACACCATTATTTGGATGTTATACATTTTCTGCTGAGATTTACAACAGACAAAAACAAATACCAATTAATCACACTTGAAATTGCAGTTAAACTGATACCAAAGCTGTTTAACGCGTTGACTGTGCATTACTCCGTTGTAAAAGTGATCGTTGGGCTAACATTTAGAAGCTAACCAGGCTAACATTTAGAAGCTAACCAGGCTAACAGTTAGAAGCTAACCAGGCGAGTTGGAAAAAATAACATGAAATTCCCACTGTTGACTCACCGATCTTGTACCATTCGCGTCCATCCTTTTGCATGCCATTTGTGGATCTTTAAAATATATTTGAAGCTATAGATATCTATGCAAAAGCATTGCCCGGTGTGACATGGACGGCAGGTCGCTGTGGAGCGCGGATAATGGCGACAAATGTAAACAACAGAAAACCGCGCAAGATGGCGGCCAGTCCACAAACTTTTTGAGACGTCTGACTGAAATTTTAACTCCAACTCAAACTGGACACTTTTGAGAAACCAATTGGAAGCAAAGGACATTTATATTGATATATTTGAGAGGACGGGACAAAACAAACTAGTTTAAAGTGAGTGGAAAAAAAAAAATATTTTACTGAAAGACCGTTAGCCTTTTATTAGCATTAAGCTAGCGGATTTTGCAAGCACGCTTTGAACATGTTGAAGAACTCTAAAGCCATGAAAGAGGAACTCAAACGTAAGACAAGAAGCTCTGATACGCATACTATGATGGACGAGCATGACTACGCCAGTGAGAACAGCTTTGGTATGTTGGAAATTGATGAAGAATTGTCACCACTCCCCGACTCGCCAGTTAACAGCCCCGCGCCAAAGAAAACATGCAGTGGGGAGAAAGAGCCTTCATTACACGCTATCCTCAAAGCGGTCAACGACAGAGCAGAGGAGGTAAAGGTGCTTATCAATCTGAATTCTGAGGACATTAAAGAGATTAAACAGTCGATTGGGTACTTGCATGACGAGATTGATGAGATAAAGAAAGAGAATAATGCATTGAAAACAACGTGTGGAAAGCTAAAGACTGAAATGGAGAATCTAGAGGAGCGTGTTGCTGAGGCTGAACGATATAAGCGCAGATGGTGCCTTCGCATGTACGGTCTGCCTGAACATGATGGAGAAAACGTGAAGGAGAAGGTCATGACCATCTGTCAAAAAGTGGTTCCTGCGCTCGGACAGAAGACATCGGAGGGGATTGACGTAGCTCACAGGCTGGGAAGGCGTGATGCTAACAAGCCCAGAGGGGTCATCATTCTGTTCGCTCTCCGCTCATTAAGAGACGAGATCTGGAGAAGTGCAAAAAACAACAGCTACCTACGAGACAACAAGTTGCGCTTTGGAGAAGACTTAACTAAGGAAGACAAGGACGCCAGAGCGGCGCTGTGGCCCATCATCGAGCAGGCCCGTAAAGATGGTAAGAAGGCATACTTCGTGGGACGTAGAGGATACGTGGAAGGCAAAGAAGTTCGACGCAGCGTTCCTTCCTGACTGAATGGCAAGACAAAGAAGATTGATTGATCTTGTCCTCACTGCGAATTTCTATTGCTACACTCAATGATGAAGTGTGGTAAGACTACATATTTATGTTCAATATAAATACATACACGTTCACTCATGTGTATGTACATTTGAGGTTTCAAATATGTTACAAGGAGTTGTGGTTTCAGTTAATATCTTGAGAGGTTTTTTTTTCCCAAAAGGTTCTGTAAAAAGTTATTTTGGATTTAACACTTTTGTCTGTTAATACAAGGGGTCTGCGCGATAATATTAAAAGAAAAGCTTTTTTTTTGTTCTCTAAAGAGGCTAAATCAGATTTTATCTTTCTTCAAGAATGTCACTCTAACTCAGAAGATGTTTAATTCTGGAAGAATCAGTGGGGGAAAGATTTGTGGTTTGCACACGGCTCAAACAAATCAGCAGGAGTCATTATTTTAAAAGATCATTTTAAAGGAAAATGTTTAGATTCTATATCTGATAGCAAAGGTCATTGGATTATAATAGTAATTGAGTTGCACTCTTCCATTTTTTTGTTGGGGAATGTTTATGGCTATAATTCTGACTCCGCAAACTCAACTTTGTTGAATGAAATACAAGCCGTTGTTAATACTCTACACACAAAATATACTTCGGCAAAGTTGATCTTGGGAGGAGATTTCAATATGGTGTGGTCAAACCATGTTGATAGACATCCTTCAAAATCAAGACATGAAGACAAACATTTGATTGAATTTTCAAACCATCTAAACTTAATAGATATATGGAGGATTCGGCATCCTGATGAACGTCAATATACATGGAACAACAAAACATTTTCATCTTTATCTAGAATTGACTTTTGGTTAACATCAAAGGAAATTGAGCAATGTGTATCAGAGGTAGAAATTTGTCCAGCTATATTAACTGATCATAGATCAATTTCCATAAAACTGAACTTGACATGTAAAGAAAACAGAAGAGTATATAGCTTCTGGAAACTTAACAATTTGCTGTTAAACAATACTGATCTTACCTCTGTTATAAAGAAACTTATCAAACAATACTGGACTCTAGCAACAATCAATAATGAATTTGGAAAATATTGGGAGCTACTTAAATATGAAATTAGAAAATTTACAATCCACTTCAGTAAGAGACTAAATCAAAATAAAAAAAAGAATCTAGAACAACTGATTAAACGTATTTCAGAAATTACCACTCAGATTTTAGACGATAATAATAACGAATTGCTCTCACACAATTACTTAAATGTCAAGAAGAATTAGATGGGATTTTTAGGGAAAGGGCTCAAGGAGCATTTGTCAGATCAAGATTGAAATGGATTGAAGAAGGGGAAAAACAGCAAATATTTTTTTGGTATTGAAAAAAGAAACTATGAAAGAAAGTCATTAACTAAATTGAGTATAAACAATGTATTGTCTGAAAATTATACTACAATTTCTCAATATGTATCTGATTTTTACAGTAACCTTTATAAGAAAGATATCTGCATGGACAGTACATCGGTCCTCCATTCATTGAAAGATGTAAAAAAAGCAAATGAGACTTTTAAAGAAGATTGTGATGAATCCTTGTCTGTAGAAGAAATAAGAAGTGCAATCAAAAATTTAAAACCAAATAAGTCGCCAGGTAATGATGGGCTAACTTCAGAATTTTATCATCTATTTTCACATGAGATTTCTGAATTTCTTTTTGCAGTTTACAATGAGTCTATTAACAATGAAGAGTTACCTACTTCAATGAAACAAGGTCTCATAACTTTAATACCAAAGCCACATAAAGACCCTTTGATTATTGATAATTGGCGAGGTATTACATTACTCAATAATGACTATAAAATTTTAGCATCCCTGTTGGCTAAAAGATTAAAATGTGGTTTAAACGATATTATTCATGAGTCTCAAAACGGATTCATGCCTGGGAGGCAAATAGCAGATAACATAAGATTAGTTTTGATCTAGTTCATTATAGGGACTTATTGCCAGGTGATCCTTTGATTCTTTTTTTAGATTACCAAAAGGCTTTTGACACTGTAAGTCATACATTTATTTTTGATACATTACATTTTCTAAATTTTGGAAATTTCTTCATCAAAGCTCTTAAGACTCTTTATCGGAACAACAACAGTGCTGTGAAATTGCTCTTTGGTACATCTTACAGATTTGATATCAACAAAGGTGTAAGACAAGGTTGTCCAGTTTCACCATATATTTTTTTACTTGTGGGACAGATTTTGAATTATTTGATTCGACAAAGTTCCTTTCAAGGGATTAAGGTTTTTGAGCAAGAAATTAAAATATCTCAATTAGCCGATGATACAACTATATTTCTTAAAAATGCTGAAGAAGTCCAATCAGCCTTGTCCACAATATCTACATTTTCAAACATTTCTGGGCTGAAACTTAATTTAAAAAAATGTGACATTCTATCTCTATATAATACTAATCTTAGAGATATCTGCAACATCCCTGTGAAGGATACGGTGACTTATTTAGGCATAAAAATATCTAAGGAGAGTAGAAATATGACAGAAAATGTTTTGTCTGTTACGGATGCTATAAAGAAGAAATTTAATAGCTGGTTGGGAAGAGATCTTTCTATTAATGGTCGAGTTTTGTTAAGCAAGGCAGAAGGAATGTCCAGAGCCTCTTACATATTCTCAACACTAGATGTCTCCAAAACGCTCTGCTCTAATCTTGATAAAATCTTATTCAAATTCCTGTGGAAAAACAAAGCTCATAAATTAAAACAAACAGTTCTCACCAATTCTTTAGCTGAAGGTGGATTGGACGTCTTAACTTTTACTGCTTTAAATCAGATTTTGAAAATTAATTGGATAAAACGATTTTTTAAAAATCCAAATTGTTTATGGAATATCTTCCCAAATTATTTTTTTGGAACGTTGGGAGGCCTGAATTTTCTTCTGCATTGTCCCTTTGCTATTGGAAAACTTCCTGTGAAATTAGCCAAGTTTCACCAACAGGTTTTACTGTACTGGTCTTTACTTTACAAACACAACTATTCTCCTCACAATTGTATTTTATGGAACAATGCTTACATCCTGCATCGAAGGAAATCCTTATATTTAGAGAACTGGTTTGACAAAAATATAAATACTGTGAAACAACTTTTAGATGATAATGGTGATTTTTATGAGTATAAGGTTTTCATAGAAAAGTATGATGATCAAATACCTGAGCATGAGTTTGATGTGGTTGTAAAATCAATACCTCAAAGTATAAGAACATTAGCGCAAAGTATTCATTTTATTGACTCACATTTCACGGATGTTTCCATTTTAGGTGTAAGCTTACAAGATAAAAAGTGCACAAACAAATATATTAGGGATAGTCTTATACAATTGGCCAATCCAGTATGTAAACATAGGTGGGGTTCATTTAACCGAAAATATTGGAATCAGGTTTTTTTGTTGCCCTACAAATATATAATCACAAATAAAGTCAAGGAATGTTTATTTAGAATTGTACACAGATATTACCCTGTAAAAGACAATATTTGTCGTTTTTTACCTAATCTAAGTAACCAATGTTCCTTTTGTCAATGTGATGGTGAAAGTATTGAACACTTATTTGTTGAATGTCCTATTATAGTTCGATTTTGGTCCAATGTGCAACACTATTTGGCTGGAATATTCCATAAAAATGTTAATATTTCCAAATTTCAAATTTGACTAATATTTAATGATAAAAAATTCTCCTCTGATGAAATTTACATTATAAATCTAATACTGATCTTAGGAAAGTACTACATCCATAAAAC